TGAAGCAGCCCGCTGCAAAATGCTAAATAATGTGCTTCTGACATTGTGCTTTGAGTTACATTGGCTTTAACTATTGCACTATGAAATGTTAAAAATACTTTTTTTTTCAATAGCAACCTGAATTAACTGAGGTCACTAAAATAGAAATAATATTTAATTTGCTCTTCTTAAATTAATGCAGTGTGCTATTTTTGCCTGAGTTACTAAGGAATTCCTGGATATTGCATTAAATTGTCATCAGTGTTTTGGGGTTTTTTACATTCTGTTATTTTGCTAAGCATCATATGCTGGACATCTAACAATAAAATACAGATAAAATTATTAGGGGTGCTTTCATAGGAAGATTTTATAATTCAAGTGCCCCCATCTCATTTATGAAATCATAGTTGTTTTATTAAACTTGTTGTATTGCCATCTATCGGAATGCTTTGATGGCTTATTAAAAAAGGTTATGAACCCTGGTCTGGAACACGGGCACAGGCTATATGAATGGATTTCCAGAAAAATTGCAGACTACAGGAACCATTTGCACTTCAGTTTGAGATGCAGACAACACAGACTTATCCCCAACAGCCTGTGCCTGTGTTCAACAGTGAAGGGACACAGGACAGAAAACATCCTGCAGAAAGCACAGCTCCACAGCACAGTCCTTTCAGCAGTTCCAAGAAGGCTCCACACTTATTTGCATTACTTAGGTGACCCTGAGGACACAGACAAACTTCCAAGTGGCCTCAATGACTCTCTAAAAGAAGGCAAATGACCAGCTGTCTGCAAGGAATATAAATCCTCCCATTTCCTCACCATCCAGTCAGAGCTTGGATGAAGCTTCTTGGATGAGAAGCGAAACGTCTTCAAAGAAAAACAAGAAAGTCTAGTTGCCTCTTGAAAAAAACACCTTTGGGACAACCATGACCTGGATGACTGAGAATCTCTATAGACACTACCTTAAATTTCCCAATATTTCTGGAATAGAGATCTCCATAGAGCGCGTTGTATTAAATTAAATGGAATGATGACCAGATTTGATATCTCCTGGCGTAGGAATGGCAACTGGAGTAGCCTTTGCTACACGGATTCATTCCTGAGTAATGTTGAAGCCTTAGGATACAGGTTCAGGGTTGGATCCTGGAGGATATCCTCTCTCTAAACTTGAGTCTTCAACGGTTATGTAATCTCACCTAACATAGGTTAAGTCCTTGTTCCATGATTTAGTTAACTAGGAGCATCTCTGTCCTCTTTGAATTATGCTTCAATTCTGAGAACTCTTTGCCCACATCTACTCCATGACTGTAATTAATCCTGAAGACAGCAGAAAACTCTCCATGTACAGGTTAAGATCATGAGGCTTAAAAGCAAGATGGAACTCTAAAGGAAACCACAGGCCAGCAGCCACTGTGGCAAATAAGTCTCTTGTACCACTTTCTGAACTTGTCCTCTTAAAAAAATCAGAAGCAATGTGTAATAGTGTAGTGACTTAGTTAGTCCCCTTGAGCACAGAGCTCATTTAGGCCATTCATTCATTCTCAATCCAACTTCCCTCATTATATCAATTGAAATTAGGGAAGGGAAGGCACTCAGTAAACTCCTTGAAATCTCTGAGAAAGGGGGGAATCTAAATGAATATATGTACCCACTGCTTCCTTGAAAGTGAATACCTAAAATAATGTACATTTGAAAAGATGGAAAGGGAATGTGAGAAGGTATTCTAATGTGTGCACCTTATATTGTTATGCTTATTATTTGTGTGAATTGACATTATGCTCTCAGTTGACTGCAAATGCTTTTTTGCACATTCTGAATAGTGAGATATTTCTTTTTTTAAAAAAAGTCTGAAATTGAAGGCTAAACAAATATTAAATAATTATACAACTAGTCATGTCTTTCTACTTTTCAAAACTGCGTTATTTAGTGATTTCTATGTTACTGAAATGTGAAACAATTTCTGTTCTAGCTATTAATGCCTCAAACTACCCAAACTACCTAAAAATAGATGAAAAACAAGCGAAATTAAAACCAACCAAAGAAATCATGAAAACTGATGCTGTACTATATAATCAGAAACAGAAATTCCAAATTATTGATATAACTCTTGCATCTGTTTTTTTAATTGTATTATGTGTAAAACCCTGGCCTAGCCTCTGGATTTTTTATTTTTATACTCAGAGTGATGATCTTAGGTTTCATAATCAGAGTAATTATTTTGGTATGGCACCAGAAATCAGACCAATGAACTCTGAATTTTTTCTAAGACCTTTTGAAATTGATTGAATCTGTCAGAAAGGGAGTTGGCTATGGAAATACTTTTTAAAAAAAGATGGACTATTTATGTAGTGAGAAGAGAATGATTCATGAACAGTTTTTATAGGACTGTTGTACGAGATGTGCAAAATTGATCCAAGAAGACATCATTTTAAATTCATGATTTTGCATGAGGTGAATGTCCAGTTACAGAAGGATTTGCTATTAGCACAGTTTTGGTTTTGGCGTATGAGCATCTTATTATCTCATTTTAACACAGTCATATATATTTCTTCCTGATTTTATCTGAACATAGTGCCTAATTATTCTAGATTGTCATATATGTCCTATCACAGTTAAGAATTTGCTTTATAACATTTAAGATTCCAACTTGTTTGGTTTTAGAATACTAATCTGTATGTTCTTTAAAACGTCACATGCATGTTTGTGTTGTTCATCAGTGGTACTTTTGTTTCTTTTATATTTTGCAGCCCAGCATATCCCCCTTTGGCCATCTAAATCCATTTCAGGGAATAATAAGGAATTGCATATGCAAAAAGCCTTGAAAAACTGAAATAATTTGTAATGTGATTCTCTAATCAGCAGATATTATCAGTGCTAACATAACAAAGATGTTTACTGTAAGATTTCTAAATAATTTAGAAATTATTGCATTGTTTAAATAAACCATTACGATGTTTTACCATTGGTTTTACCAAAAAATAATGCCATTACAGTATATAAATGCTGATACAGATTGCATATGCACCTAGGACAGTGGTGGCGAACCTATGGCACGGGTGCCAAAGGCAGCACTCAGAGCCCTCTCTGTGGGCATGCGCGCCGTCACCCCAGTCCTAGGCCTTCAGCTGGGTTTTGTAAAACCTTTTCGCTTTAGGCCTCCGCTGCTGTGTGCAAAAAAAAAAGAAGGTTCAATCAATCAGTTAATTTCAACTTCTTGCGGGAAAAAAAAAAGGATCTTGCAAAGTTGGAATTGATTGATTGAACTTTTTAGTCCCACCCAGTCTGCCGTTACCACCGCAGCCACGCCCACCCAATGAGCCACATCATCCCAATTGGCCACACCCAGCCAATGGGCCACATCCACCCGGCACCCGATGATGCATAAGTGGGTTTTGGGTTGCAGTTTGGGCACTTGGTCTCTAAAAGGTTCGCCATCACTGACCTAGGACATATATGTATGTATTTTTCCCCTGTATTGCCTATTAATTATTTGGCAGAATAGGTAGATATCATGCTACTTGCATTAACAATTATATTTTCAAAGTCATTTGAAATTACCATAAGTTGCAAATAAAGTACTGTGGTGGTTCTTTTCTTTTTGTTACATTCCTTGGGAAAGCCAGATTTATTCAGCCTTGTTTTCTTCATAGTTATAGAGCCCCATGCATTTGTCAGATAGGACTTGATACTTTTGAGAATGGGAGACAATATTAAAAATGAAAATGTTTTGATTGAAAGTTAGACTAGCCTCTTGGGAACACCTAGATGGCTTCTGCTGATCTTGGAAGGTTAAGCAGGATCTGTGCTGGTAAATACTTGGATGGGAGACCATAGAAATTCCAAAGCTGTAGTCTAGATGGGGAAGCCAAAAAACATCACAGAAGAAAGTAATGGCAATTCAAGTATTGCTACCAAGCAAAATTCATGAACAAGCCAATGAACTCATAAGAAGACAAACCTGACTTAAAGGACACTTTATAGTTTGCATTTTATATAATTGGACAGTTACTGCGTAGACAGAAAATAATGCCCTGGAACTTTGCTGTAACACATCCCAGCATACTTAGAGCCAGGTTAAATTTCTAATGAGTAGTGGAGGAGAAGCTTCAAACTGTGTTTAAAACAGACTTCCAAAACTTCATGTCATTCACCATGTGTTGGACTAAAGTTACATCTGAATGGCTCTGGTGGAAGTTGCTGTAAAGCAACAACATAGTTGGCGGAAGTGAAAAAAAAGGTCTCTGTTCCAGCATTTTATTCCAGGCATGGCAATTCTCAGAACTGCCATGCAGAATGGCTTCATTCATTTGAATATTTATGCTCTTGATGGAAACTGGGAAGTGTAATCATTTTATGGAAATGCCAGCCTGCAGGTGAATATCTAATACAGCAGAGGTCACCAACCTTTCTCGGTTGGCGGACCGGAGGGAAAAGGAGGGGGCAGCATTTTACACCCATGTGATACTCGCTAGCCCTCCCCCGTTCTTGCATGGTGCGGTGCCCTGTTTTCACACCCCATGGCATGCTGTCCCGTTTCTGCATCCCACAGCACAACAGCATCCCATTTTTATGGCCCGAGGTGTGGCGGCGGCCCATTTTCACACCCTGAGGTGCGGCAACGACCTGTTTTTGCACCCACAGTGCGGTGTCCTGTTTTCACGCTCCATGGCCACGGTGCTAGCATGAGTGGGGTGTGTGTGCACGCATACTGGCCAGCCTGTCCCATGGCCCAGTGGCCAAGAGGCCATGGCCTGGTAGTGGGCCATGGCCCACAGGTGGGGATCCCTGTAGTATAGTATAGAGACATACACTCCAGGTCCATGGAAATTTCTAGGTGTGGATTTAGTTGCTCCTTATTAAAACTTACACTTTTATTGTAATGAAGCTTATATTTCATATGTTTCTTGGTTTTGTCAAGTGCTAGGTTTCTCCTATGTAAGAGTGAAAGGGTTGTTAATGTTTTTCAGGAGAATATGAAATAGCTTTACTGCCTTCTATCTTCCTCATCCTTCAGGTACCATCAGAAAAAATCCTCCGAGCTGGAAAGGTATTACGGAATACTATACTATCCCGTGCTCCTCACATGATAAGAGACCGGAAATACCACCTGAAGACCTACAGGTATCATGAGGGAAATATGATATTCATGTTTTGCTTGAGTATCATCTTGTGATTTTTAATAATAATTTTGGGTCATTTCAAGTTTCCAAATATTGGAATTATTGGCAGTATTGTAGATCTCAGGCATGTTTTAGCCATTTGAAACCTGTGGCTATTTGAAGATTTAATGCTACAAACATAATTCAGGCAACTTGAGTCAAAGAAGACTGTGGTTGTCTAAAATGCCGCCTGTGTCTACTTTCCTTAAACCAAGCAGACTATTTTTAAATTGGGTTTTTCTCTTCAAACTTAGCCTCAAACTACAATCCTAATTAGCCAGAATTGATAATGGCTGGGGATAATAAGATCTAATGTCTAACAATATATGGAAGGACACCAGTTCCCCAGTTGTTATTGAGAGTCATTTTAACTTGGTGGGCTTACTTCTGAATAGACATAATGTAGAATTGCATTGTCAGTATTTTGTATATATTTCCATATAGACTGCAATGTAAAATACGTGTATTGTACATATTAAACATGCAACAGGCAATATTTTTACTGTCTGTTATGTATTTGAGCAACAATGCATATTTAACATCATTCTTTTATGGATCCTGCTGGTGGCAGCAGTGCCTTGCTAAAACAAGTTTATTTTGGGCAGAATAAGAATTAAACATAGATTTCTATCCTTTCTTCTACTAAGATTAGTGACTTCCTCAGAGCACTGAAAAACTGAATTAAATATTATTTGGGTTCCTTTTTCTACTTTGAAGAGTAAATATATTTTAGGAGTTATTAATTGTCAGAGTGTTTTTAAAAAATATAGAATCAAGGTACACAATCTGGATTTTGTTTAACCAACATTTAATTCAACATGTGAACTATCATCAGAATAGCAGCCTGGAAATGACTGGTCCTCAAGCATTGTATGTTGTATGCCTGCACTTTGTTTATAAGCTCATGCAATATATCAGTCACATTCTCTCTCTAAAATGTTGTCCAAATTTAAAAATAAATAACCATCACCTTTATTTCCCAATTAACGGCTGTAACAAAGCTGCTGGACGAATGTCTTTCAATGTTCCTCCAGGAGGTTACAGATAATTCCTTATTTACAATTATTTGTTTAGTAACTGTTCAAAGTTACGATAGTACTGAAAAAAAAAAAGACTGGTTCTCATAGGGTTCCCGCAGTCATGTGCTCACGATTTGCAATCTTACCCGGGAGGGTTTCAACAAATAAAGCCAACTGAAGAAGTCAGACTTGCTTAATGAGGACATGATTTCCTTAACAGCCACGGCAAAAATGATCATTAAATCAGGCAAGGCCACGTGATGGTTCACGTAACAGTTGCATTGATTAGTCATGGAAGTTCCAATCCCAATGAGGTCAGAAGTCAAGGACCACCTGTAGCAAAGCTTGTAGAAAGCATTCAGTCTTATTTTAATTCTTGGAGGTATGTTTTCATAAACTGAAGTACAGGCTTCAGCTGCCATGTCATTTCAGCAATGTCAACATATTCCTATTTTCTTTGTCTCTCTCTCTCACTGAAATGGTAGATTGCCTGTGATGAGGCTATTGTCTGAGAAACAAGATGATTATATTTGCATTGTTAAATAAGCTTGCTGTCCCTATACATAGCAATGAATCATGATCCTTTTGAAACTGTGTCAGGTTTGGTTTAAGTAAACAAAACCTCTAGTTTCCTGGGACAAGAGAAGTTTATAAATAGAAAATGTGTCATTCCTTAAAAGCTATATTAACCAGATTTTTGTGAAAAGAGGCCCTAGAATATTAACAAGATATCCTAATATATCTGTATCATATGTCATGGTTGTCATTTATGTTTTAAATCAGAACTTTACTGCCCAACCAAGGCCAAGTGAAGTTCCCATCACCCAAGTTATTAATGCATCTCCTTAAACTTCTCAACAACTTTTAAAACTTTTAAGTTACAATAAAAATAAATGTATTTTTTTTTCTTGGACAAATCCACTCACTGGTATCCAGGGGATGTAGGTAGTAGTGGAAAACTGGGTACTCTAACAAACATCATTCCACCATCCTTTCATAAAAATGAGAGGCAAATTAGTTTCTAGCATCTTCATATATCTATTGTCTATGCACTTATCTGCATGTATTTATGTATATTTGTTCAATCGTTTGAAAGACAGTCTCCTCCTCAGACTGCTGTGGGTGACTGCATGGAAGATTAATGTTTAAAATTTGTAGCAAACAGGTTCAGAAATCTAAATGCATTTTGTTTATTATGATGCAAAATCTGCATAGCAGAAGAAACCCTATCAGGGTTTAATAGGATAAGACTGTGGTATGTGTTGCAAGCTGTATGAACCCTGCAAAGGCAGCATTTCAGCAAAACAGCACCAAGCCTTTTCCCAGATAAGAAATAAATCACAGTCTTATTCTGTTAAACAGGGCTATGTGAAACCCTTACTAGGAGCTAGGAAGAAAAACTGAGTGGCAGGTAGTCACTCTGCTGGGAAAATAGAAATCTGTAAGTATAGGATGAACTCAATTCATACATGTAATCCCCAATCGATGACCGTAATAAATTCTGATGGTTATAAAATGGATTATCATGTGACCAACCCAATTTTATTACTTTTTTGCAGTGGTTTTAAAGTGAACACAATGGTCATAAAGCAAACACATTGTTCACTATGGGTTGTTTTTGCCAAAAAGAAAAAGTAAACTCTGAGTTTTGGCAAAAATGTCATAATAGCATTAGCAATAGCACTTAGACTTATATACCACTTCATAGTACACTCTCTGAGTGGTTTACAACATCAGCATATTGCCCCCAACACTCTGGGTCCTCATTTTACTGACCGTGGAAGGATGAAAAGCTAAGTCAACCTTGAGCCGGTGAGAATCGAACTGCTGAACTGCTGGCAGCCGGCAGTCAGCAGAAGCGGCCTGCAGTATTGCCTTCTAACCACTGCGCTACTACAGCTCATAAATTGCAATCATGTGGCAAGGGGATGCTGCAAACAGCCATAAATGTGGGCTGGTTGCTGAGTGCCCCAAATGTGGTCAGGTAACCATGGAGGGGGCAGCTGTCAGAAGTTTTTTTTTGGGGGGGGGGTTCTGTCATAACTTTTGAGCATTCATTAAGTTGGGGACTATCTGTAGTAGGTTTCATCCATTTCTGCCTGGCACTCTTGAAAGAAAGTCAGTCTATAAAATCTATCAACAACAGCAGCAACAACAACAAAGTTAACTAAATATTTTGTGCCTGAAACTACTGATATTTTTCCCATCTTTTAGACAATGCTGTGTAGGAACAGAACTGGTAGACTGGATAATGCAGCAGAGTTCCTGCGTTCATTTACGGACCCAGGCTGTGGGCATGTGGCAAGTATTGCTGGAGGAAGGTGTTCTCAATCATGGTAAGAGAAACTTAGAAATGGGAAATCCAGAACGTACGTTCCTTAGTACAGTAATTCTAAAAGGAGGCAATGGAAATCTATTGAAGTTCATAAGCTATACTTTTAAATTATGATGCTTGAGAGATATAATTATTTCAGTGTACAGAGATGCAGTTTGTTCCTAGGGGAATCTCTTTCAGTAGAGGGCAAGCACGTTAAAGGTGGGACCAATAATGAGATCTAAGATGTTTCCTCCTCTAAATGGACCCTAAGATGGAATGTCTTTTTATTCCTCCTAGCAGAGCCTCCTCCCCTTCACCTGGTGATTCCACCACAGAGCCACGTCTACCTCAGATCAAATTCTCAGAGAACCTTCAGACACCCAAACTGGGTTTTTAAAAAGTACTGAACAGTGCCAGATTGCAAAAATGGCTCTTCTAAAACTTCTGCGAAGAAGCCACACACTTGTTTGTAAATCCTATTCGAAACGTGAAAACTTTTTTGTAGAAATTTGGTTGGTGTGCACACTGAATTTAAAATTAAGATTAAACTAAAAAAACCTTTCATCCAAATAGCACGTCAGCAATCTAGTGATTTACCGAAAAATATTGCACTAGAAGAGAGATGCTTAAAGCTCACATAGTGGAGATGTGGTGGAGTCAGATACAAGGAAGAGTCATAGATATTTCATGACGGATGTATCCAACACAAAGTAGTGAGCATGTTGTCTGTTAATGTATTGAATCACCAGGACTGACATTCTCTTCTGGCACAGGCAAGCCATGTTTGTCAGAGATCTGTGAGAAGTCCAGCAATCTTCTGGCAACTGGCTGGACTTCCATAAAGAGCCCTGCCTTTGCCTGCTGAGAACTGCAGTTCTGTATGATTCTGTGTTGATGAGATATAAAGCCTTCTACCATCAATTTTTTATATCCTATGGCTGCTTTCAGTGGACCAAGAGCAATACTTCCAGGATAAATATTTATTTTATCGATTTTTGGATGATGAGCATGAAGATGCCCCGGTGATGCCAACTGAGGAAGAAAAGAAGGAATGTGATGAAGAGTTACAAGACACCATCCTCCTGCTTGCTCAGATTGGACCCGATGCTCATATGAGGATGATTCTTAGGAAGCCGTAAGATGGTTAATAAATTATTGTTTTTGAGACCCTGATTTAAATCTTCCACCTGTATATATATACTTGGCAGAGCATGTGCAGTTTTGGTATTTAGCTATAGGAACCAGTGCACAAAAACCTAATTGAAATGATAACTCAGATATGCTTTTTTTATTAGAATAAAGCAAAAGACCTAAATTGCATCAGGTATTTTGATGGGCTTGATTACCAAGAACCTATAATTATGCTCTACCTCTTAACATGCCCTATAGTCAAGGGATGAAAATTTTTGCTATTCAAAGCATTCTCTGGGTGAAAAATTATTTTTAGGCAGAAAGAGTCTAGGCTAATCTTCATTGTATATTAACTTTCCAGGTGCAAAAAGTTTTCCACCAAGTTAGCACTGTGGAGTAGTCCAGATACTTATCCCACTTATCATGATCCTATTATTAAAGTTCACAGGAAGTGTAAGATATTGGCTCTGGGTTGATTTGAAAAATATCCTCTACTTGTAAATTACCACAGCTGCTGCCTTTGACTTGCAATTCTCCAAGAGGTTTGCAAAATTCATGTAATTATCAAGAAAGAAATAATGTATTTTTTATTTTTTAAAAATGCTGAAAAGATTATTTTGAGCATTTGAGTATATAATGGCACTACTGCTTTAAAAGGTGCTTTCTATTGTTTCGAATTTGAAACTCACTTGCAAAATGTGTCACTTGTTTTGACAGAGAATTTTAAAAATTCTTTATTTATTTCATTGCAACATTTTAACTGTCAAATGATGAAAGAATGTCTGTGGTGTTAAAAAAAACCAGAATAAAACGGCAAGGAGAAAATTGGCAGACTCTAGTTGCTATTGGTAGGGGTGCCCCTCCTTTTTATCAAAAAACATACATTGCTCTAAATATAAAATTAGCTTTTTGTTAAAAAAGTGCTACAAACAAAGCTGCCTGGTTCTATTGATGTATGTATTAAGAAATATAAATCTGTTACGTGCATTGAAAAACTATTTGAAATATGTGACTTCTATTTTTAAAAATTATTGTGTGATTCAAAAGTGACAACCAACATTGATTTTTTTAATTTTTTAATATGTATCTGATTTAGCTGTTTAGCAAAAATGTTGGTTCACTGGAACGTGTCAGAAATATAAATCAAATTTTATTTATTTTATTTATTTATTATATTTTTACCCCGCCCTTCTCCTTGCGGACTCAGGGCGGCTAACAGCCTAATAAAAACAAATACAAAAGTACAAAAATACAACCATTAAAATGTAATTAAAAGGAAATATTAATTTGGCCTTTGTTGTTTTAAAATTGTTTTAAAACCCAACTAAAAATACCCCTTAGGCCAGTCCTGCCAGCCTAAATAGCCATGTCTTGAGGGCGCGGCGGAAGGAAGGGAGATCCGGGATCACCCTGATCTCTGGGGGTAGTTCGTTCCATAGGGTGGGAGCTCCCACCGAGAAGGCCCTCCCCCTGGGGGTCGCCAGCCGGCACTGTCTGGCTGACGGCACCCTGAGGAGACCCACTCTGTGGGAGNGTGGTGATGTCATCACACAGATCTTACTGTTTTGTACTTACATCCCAATGCCTGATAACAAATACATAATTCATGGCTTTTGCATGACGGTATCTTTGATATCATGTCTTCACCTCCCCTTCCCATTGGCACACACCTATGTGGGAGTTATGGATCTGATTCAGATTATTTTGGCGGAGGGAGTGTCCATTGTATGAATGACAAGATGGCTACCTCAAGAGAACTGTGTGAAGGGATAGAGGACAGGCAACAAGTAACTCTTAGATTTTAGAGAGCAGCCCTACTTTCTCCTAACCTTATCCCCTGTGGTTCATAAATAAATAAATAAATATCCGCCAAGCAGCCTATGAAGGAAGGAGCTTTTTAAATTCTGTGACCCCGAAAAGCTGCTCAACACAGAGGATTCTATTCTGGAACACAGAATGTCATCATATTTGTAAGCTGTGTCTGGTGTGAAGCCTCATTGTGAATGGGTGTGTTACATCCTTTGAGTCAACCCTGATTCCTAGTGACTGCATACACAGGTCTGTGCGGTTTCTTGGCATCATTTTTCAAAAATGGTTTGGCCATGGCCTTCTTCCTAAGATTGTCAGGAGCAGGCAACCAGATACACACGTGTAGAGTTCAAGCTAAGTACCTTATTATATTATGCTTATAATACAGGAATCTCCCCAGGACAGCTAGCCTTTCCTTGGGAAACATAGATAAGGGTTCCATGGAGTTTGGGGGTGAGGGGATCAGTCCTGGATCTCTTGTAGCTGCACAACAATTCAAGGCTAATTCCTTGCTTGGTTCCTCCTTTCTGCCTGGCTGGGCGTTTAGCAGATGAACATCTTTAGTCTCCTGCAATCTTTTCTCTCTTCCACGATGACCTTTGTTATCATGGCTTTGTTATCATTGTTATCAGTTCCCTGGAAAAGGTTTGTCCCTGCCTTCTTCTCAGATTTTTTTTTTTAAAATTTCTACTTTAGCATACAGTCTTGGCATTCTTTGGAGATCTTTTCTATCTTAGCAGGTTGCTGGACCTGGATGATCTTATTTGGATGTGGAAGTGAAACAGGATTGGGTCTGGTTTATATTAATTTTTTTCTAGATTTTTTTTTCTCTAGAAAAGTCATTCTTTTCCTATGTCCGTAGGATGAATGCACTCCTGCATCTCTTTCAAAACTGGAAGATGTTAGACTATTTTATGAGTGAAGACTAGCTTAAAGAAGCTGTGTAAATAACAACTTCAGTGATAATGGGAACTAATCTTTCTTGGCTGGTCTGATAGATGCTCAGTCTACTTCTACCAGTGTCATGGAAATAATGCTGTACTTATTGTTAGGCTTGCTATCCAATCAGATGAAGTATAATTGGTCAGTTACATCCATTGAAATAAATTAATGAATTTCAAATACATTCAATTTAATTAAAAACAATTATTCACGATAGATGTCGTAAAAATGTCTATAGAAAAGTGGGGGGAGGGAAATGGTAACAAAACACATTAACTTGTTATTTTACTATTTTCTGGATGTTAAAGATACAAATAGATAAATACTAACTGGGAATCCATTTAGTTTTTCTGCAACTAGAATTGCTTCCATGAACTCCTGGAATTTACTTTGAAAAATTAGGGAACTCTCAGATCCAGTTAGAAGGATAGGAAACTGCAGGGAAAAACAAAAGAGGGAAACCACATGTTCTACTGTTTGTACCTGTTTCTACTGTTTACCAGATGACCGTGTATCAATCCTCATAGTAAATGAAGCAGCATCGGCATGAGACAGCATGAATTTGCAGACTGAATGTTTTTATTTATCAAATCGCTAGACAGCCCAGCTGCAAAATAACTCTGTGCAGCTTCACAAAGTTAAAAGGAACAGTCATCTGAGGGAACAACATTCAACATGCTTGGGCCCAATTAAAAGGGGGTAATCTGAAACATCCTATCCCAGGGGTCTTCAAAGCATGCCTGGCTGAGGAATTCTGGGAGTTGAAGTCCAGAAGTCATAAAAGGGCCAAGTTTGAAAACCCCTGTCCTATCCCAAGGCCTAGGGAAAAACAAGGTTTTTTAAAGTTGTTTAAAGCTGGGCACCTGGAGAAGGGCCTAATGCTGGGAAAGATTGAGGGCAATAGAAGAAGGGGACGACAGAGAATGAGGTGGCTGGATGGAGTCACTGAAGCAGTAGGCGTGGACTTAAATGGACTCCAGAAGATGGTAGAGGATAGGAAGACCTGGAGGAAGGTTGTCCATGGGGTCACAATGGGTCGGACACGACTTCGCAATTAACAATAACAACAACAACCTGGAGACCTACAGCACTGGGGATGGAGAGGTGGGGAGGCTGTTCCCAAGGGATAGGGCAGTAACAGAGACCTTCTGGGTCTCTGTTAATTGATAAGGCCCAAAGCAAGCTCCCCCTGTTGATACTACAGTAGATTGCAAAATATTGTGGATGGTAGCTCTTTGAGTTGAGATTCTTTATGTAATTTCTTGAACCAACAATATGCTTGAAAATCAGACCATTTGTGATGTCACATAATGGATGTGTATTTATCTTTTATTATAGACCTGGTCAGAGGACTGTGGATGATCTCGAAATTATTTATGAAGAACTTTTGCACATTAAAGCTTTATCTCATCTTTCAACAACAGTGAGTTCTTAAAATATTTTATGACCTTAAGGCAAACAGACAGACGGGCAGTCAGTCTAAGGCTGATTAGTGCCTAGCTATTTATAAATACAGGCTGCGTACAGTAACACCCCAATCTCTCCTCTACCTTCTGCTTCTGTAAGATGGCTATAAAAGTGTAAACTCCATACAGATGAATAGAGGTGACAATTTGGAAAGAGTTATTGTTTGTTATATCGAAATCTTTGGGGGGGGAGGGAATAACCATTAGAACTGGTTATCGGTTCCAGGTTGTTGAAGGCTCTTCTTTCTGATGTATTTAATTGTGAAGATTGCTACTTAGACTCAACAGTTCTGAGGAGGGAACTTTCCTTCCTAAAACAAGATACATATATGTTTGTCCTGTTCTGCCCAGTATTATCAGCCAATAGATGCAGATATTCCATGGCTGTTTTGGACAGGGAAGAAACAATGAATAGGCTCAATCTATCCACTGCTCTTTCTCACATGTTAGATGTGATAGAACACAGACGTTCATGATACTCATTGAATATGAGTATTTCGTGCCCTTATATTATTCATTTATACAAGTGATTATGTCTGCTGTTCAAATATACGATGGTACCAATGCTTTACCATAGATTACTACCATCAAACATTAGTCAATCTAGGATTTTTTTTCAGACTCTTCTGCATTCTGTATAATTGTCTCTTTCAGTCCACAATAAATATAGTGAAGAGTCAAGAGTCCTGTTGGTGGCAGATAGACTCCAGTCTGACTTGTGGGAAACATTAGACAAGATAGCAGGAATGCAAAGAATGTAAAACATACAGCTTTCTTTAGGAAGAGTGAGAAATGATAGCTCAAGACTTGTCTTTTTAGGAGGCAGCATTGTAAAAGAACGTGAATTATTTGAAATATAACTGGATATAGATTTTGTTCTCTCCCCCCCCCACCTGCTCAAAGCTTGTCAAATGTGTGGTATGGCTGCCATAGTCTCTAAACCAGTGGTTCTCAACCTGTGGGTCGGGACCCCATTTGGGGTCGATCGACCATTTCATGGGGGTCACCAAGCAAGGCTGTCCGCCATTTTTTTTGTCCGCCATTTTTTCCCCCCTTTTCCGGCGGGTGCCTTACCTCCCTTGGGCTGGGCCAGCTGGTGGTCGGCCTGCTCCGTCTCTGCCGCTTGCCAGCTACGCCTCGGCCGGCGCAGGGGGCAGAACCACGCATGTGCGGCGCTCCCGGGCAGGGGAAGTCCTCGACTTACGACCGGTTGGATAGTCCTCGACTTACGACCGGTTTAGTCCTCGACTTACGACCGGTTTAGTCCTCAACTTACGACCGGTTGGGGTCACGGCATTAAAAAGGTTGAGAACCACTACTCTAAACAATAAAGAAAGATTGTCTAGCATGTGAATAAGGTGGCACATATTATGGATTATATGAATGAATGTATTTCCTTCTCATGGAATTCTAGCCTTGTCTGTGGGAGGAGCTTTACATCATGAATTTATGTCTTGAGGACTCTTAAGATTTTTGCTGATTTCAGGAGACATGAGATTTTTGCCTATCACCTTTCGAAATATTTTGGTGCTTCTTCCCTTTCTTTCCTCTTTTTCCACCCCCTTCCCCGTGCAGTTCAAGAATATCCAAATTTATATGTAATGCTTATCTGTATTTCTTCAAGGTAAAACGAGAACTAGCAGGTGTTCTGGTGTTTGAATCACATCCCAAAGCAGGGACAGTTTGTAAGTAAATCTTTCTTATGGTTGTTTTAGACTTATCTGCAATTGAGCAAATTACATTTTCTGTGTAAGAACATAAATGCACAAAATGTACTGGGCTGTTTCTATTACGAGGAAATTGGAGAATCTGAAACTTGGATTTTAGTCTGGGCAATGATTAGCCCTAAGGGGATTGGAGTATAACATCTAATTTTCATAACTTCATGCATTTTGTAATTCTACTTATTTGGCAGTAAGCTGCAATGATCTCTCAAATACATTTGACAGATAATTGAGTGAAATAAATTTGTTTAAGGTTACACTTACAGCAGAATATAGTTGTGGAATCTGGAGACAGTTGAATTGATTATCCTGTGAAACTGAGCTTGATTGGTGTTGATGACAATGATGACGATGTCAGAATATGGCAGAAGAGATGCTTTGTGCTGCCTCATAGAACATGCACCACATACAAAGCCATCAAGGCAAAAATAGAAAACACAACAGAACCATTTTGGCTAAAGAATGCCAAATGAGAATGAGACTGTTGACCATATAATAAAATCCCACAGACAGATTATCATAGAAAGGCATGATCAAAGATATTTTTTAATTTATGTTGTCATATTTAAGAACTGCCCATCTTCATCCCATATTACATTGGGATGGATGAAAAAATACAGGTTCATTGTAAAAAAAAGAATTAGTGGCAATACAAAATCGCAGATAAAATCGTTGAAAAATGACAAAGCAAAACTTTAATGGGATTCTGAAATTCTGACTGCTCAATGTCCACCAGACATTACCGCCATTGCAAAGAATCATGTTTGGTTTATTGTTGCAACCATTCTAAGAGATAGTAATGTAGAAGATGAATTGGAAAAGATTGCAAAATACTGCGATTTACAAATAGAGATTGCAAATACCTGGAAGAAGAAGTCAAAGGGGTACTAATCGTTAATTTGAGCCTTAAGTGCCACTGCACAAGGACTTAGAACTCAGATTGCCTAAATTTGGAACACATCCGTTCAGTTACAAACAACAGCACTGCTGGGCCCATCATGCATAATTAGGCATTCAGATTTCCAAGGCCTTGGGTAGGGCTTGAATCACGAAGAAGAAAAGCAGCCAACATTAGCTCTGACAATTGTTAATGGAAAAGAATAATAATTCTTATCAGACAAAAAAAGCTAATTGCTATAGTTATAAGGTTGCTAAAGAAACACTGCTGGTTTTCTTGCAATAAATTTTGCCATGTGTAAAAACATTAAAATGTGATTTTACTCACAGTCAAATAGATTTGTCTGTTTTCAATCTCAGAGCTCTGCAATCTCCTTTTGCTACTTTTTAAGTTGAGCTTTAGATGAGATTTTAGTTCTAACATACTTGTTAAAAGCAACAATAGAAAGTTCCTTTCATATAGTTCACACTGGACTTTTGATTCTAAATTTTTAAATGAAATGGTTGTCTTTTGCAAGATAGTTGAATTGAAAAGGCCAAAGCCAGGCCAGTGTTGGGCAGAAAGAGATCCTTGCTTCAAGTCAACTGATTCTGAATGTCATGGAGAGGCAGGAAATTGTCAGTTATTTGATTTATTTCCATTACATTTTTACTAATGAGTGGAAAAAAGGTAGCTATAGTTTTACTACCAATAACAAAATAGTATGACTAGCCTTAGGCACCATATATCTTTCCTGGAGGAACAATGAGATACAGATTGCTTCAGGTGCCTAAACATCCAGCCACAGTAATGACAATTATCCAATAATTTGAGTTTGCAAGATCTTGTACAATTAAAAGTTGCCCTGCTCTAACTACTTTTTCTTTCTTTCGCAGTATTTAATCAGGGAGAAGAAGGGACATCTTGGTATATTATTCTGAAGGGTTCAGTCAATGTAGTAATTTATGGAAAGGTACTGTCCTGTACAATTTCTTAAAGTTATTTTATTTCCTACAGGTGTTTTCCCTAGGAGCTGTCTCCTTTCAGTTGTGTGGAAGCAATAGGCTAAGTCCATTGGTGGGTTTGTACTAGTGAAAAACAATTCGACTTGTACAAGACAAGTCACAGGGTTTTCACCAATTCCTCCCCCAATGTACTATATTTCAGTAATGGCAAACCTTTTAGAGACCGAGTGCCCAAACTGCAACCCAAAACCCACTTATGCATCTTCAGGTGCCTGGTGGGTGTGGCCCATTGGCTGGGTGTGGCTGCGGTGGTAACGGCAGACTGGGTGGGACTAAAAAGTTCAATCAATCAATTCCAATTTTGCAAGATCTTTTTTTTTCCTGTGAGAAGTTGAAATTGACTGATTGATTGAACCTTTTTTTTTTTGCACACGGCAGCGGAGGCCTAAAGCGAAAAGGTTTTATAAAACCCAGCTGAAGGCCTAGGACTGGGGTGACGATGCGCGTGCCCACAGAGAGGGGTCTGAGTGCTGCCTCTGGCACCCGTGCCATAGGTTTGCCACCACTGTACTATATTGTTCTTGTGAATCCTACAGTGATATGAGGAAGCCAGTGAAAATTGCATTCTAAAGTGAACTTCTAGTGTCACATAGCTTCACTACCATTGGGTGCAACCTATGGTGTCTTTATTGATCCTGATTCAAGGGAAAAAAGGGGAGTTTCTAACTTTTATTGAAAATTGCCATTTAAACTATACATAAATAGAAGTAGATTAACTAATATCTAATGTGGTATGAAAACAAACTCTGGATTTGCAGCTGCTGTCTCTTCCACAATAGCCGTGATTCTTCCAATTTTGCACAAATAGACCCTGCTCACATAGTCTCCCATAGTCTGTCCCACAAATGGCCCCTGGATAGAGACATGAGAAATTTTACTTGAATTGGTAGAGCACATGCTTTGCATGCAGTAGCTTGAATCACTTTCTGGCATTTCCAGCTAAAATAATGAGTATCAGATTATGTAAATGACCCCTTGAGAGTCCATGCTAGCCAGAAGAAAGAGCATTGAATTTTGGTCAGGGAAGGGCAAACGGGTGTCTTTCAGGTTCAGATCCTATCCCATCTACATGGCCTGTTACTTCATATGATAAACGGACAATGTTTAGAAGAAAAATATATTTTGTAATCATATACTACAATTGTATGTTATTACTTGTCAATTATAAACCATTCTGATTGCAAGTTTTTTAAAATGGACCAGAAGAACTGAAGTAAAATATATTTTCTGAAAGACATGATCTATCAATTGGGACTCACTGAAGCTTGAAGATAAGGATAGAGAGATAAACTTTACAAAGAAAGAAAAAAAATGCAAACTTGGCTTCATTTACGGAGCTAGAAGCCTGTCCATTTCTGAACCCAGTTTCAGAGGACAAACTCCATTTATTCTTTGCCCTTTCCAGTATTCATAATGACGAGCTGCTGTGCTTTGTTCCCTGCCAGCATATTGGATGCTAATTTTATGCCAGATGAATTTGTTACAGTATTTGGGGTAGAAATCCATTGTGTGTATATGAAGTGTCAATAGAATAAGCTGAAAATTATGGGCTTTTTTTCCTTGTGAATGTATTTTTGTTGTTATTTCTGTTGTCAAACTTAGGGTGTGGTGTGTACTCTACATGAAGGTGATGATTTTGGCAAATTAGCCTTAGTGAATGATGCTCCCAGAGCAGCTTCCATTGTTTTGCGGGAAGAAAACTGCCACTTCTTGAGAGTAGATAAAGAAGACTTCAATAGGATACTCCGGGTAAGTGTGCAGAAAATAACCTTTTTTCATTTATCCCGAAAAAGGGATTGCTTTTGAATGCTGAAAATATTGAGTACCATTTTTTCCAAGTCTTTGCATGTTGAGATTTCTTGCATTTATTTATGCATGGCAGAAACTGTAGTCTAGAAGTTTTTGGTGTCATCTCTCTCAGCGTGGAGCGCTACTAAATGTTGCAATGACATCATGTTTATGTTTGATCACGAGTGAATTGATCATGAGAGTAAACTACTACAGGTAGTCCTCCACTTACAACAGTTCGTTTAGTGACTGTTCAAAGTTACAAGAGCATTGAAAAAAGTGATGTATAGCATTTTTCACACTTATGACCGTTGCAGCATCCCCATGGTCACCCGATCAAAATTTAGATACTTGGCAACTGACTCATATTTATGACAGTTGTAATGTCCTGAGGTCATGGGGTCACCTTTTGCGACCTTCTGACAAGCAAAGTCAATGGGGAAACCAGATTCACTTAACAACCGTTTTACTAACTTAACAACTGTAGTGCTTCACTTAACAACTGTGGTAGGAAAGTCCTAAAATGGAGCAAAATTCACTTAACAGCTGTCTCACAACAGAAATTTTGGGTTCAATTGTGGTTGTACGTCAAGGACTACCTGTATTGCAACTAACATAAAAGATAAAAATAACCTTAAGATGAACTTCAGCCACACAGGTTGGGGTTTTTTAGCAATAGGTTTCAATTTTCTTCCCCCAGAATGGGTTTTTCAGTTTCCCAGTTTAACTAACAAACTGTTAGTTCCAGTTCACTTGGAATTCCCAAGTAAATCCTCATGTAGCTACTTACTCCTGCATAGCTTCAGAAATCAGCCAGGTCAGCTAGAGGTGTTACTACTCATAGGCTAAGTGAAGCTGATTTTAAAATAGTTATTAGGAACATTTTCAGGCATAGGATTTTTCATCAGTTCATCTTTCCCTTTCCAGCTCTATTCCAGTATCAGAATCTGGGTTTTCCACTGTGGAAAGTGGAGTTGATGTATTTATTCATTTATTTTATTTAGTTTAATTTAGGGACTGCCCATCTCCAAACTGTCAGCTCATAATAGAATGGTGGAGAGAGCTGAAGGGGAATAGGTAAATGTTGCTTCCTCTTTCTCTTCTTCCTATAAAATCTCTGCTGGATCTAGCCTTTAGAGAATTAGTATTAGGATCCAGTCCAAATGTACTCTTTAACTCCTACCATGTTGACAGTTCAAATCCTTTTTCAGGATGTTGAAGCAAACACAGTAAGATTGAAGGAACATGACCAAGATGTCCTGGTGTTAGAGAAGGTCCCAGCAGGAAACAGGCCTTTTAATCAAGGAAACGCACAGCCTCTTCAGCACAAGTATGTTTTCATTCTTGATTGTCAACATCACGTTATGTTTAATAATTCCAAATGATTTTACTCAATTTGCATCATGCCCGCTCTCTACGAAGGAAGGAACTGTGCCACATTTCAAAAGAAATAATCAACTGTTCCCTTGCCATATAGAAGGCATGATTTGTCATTGCCCAAGCATGCTAGTTGAGGGCCTTAATTTTCCACAACCATTCTATGCAGTTCTCAGTGTGAATACTTATCAAACATTGCAGCTTTAAAAAAAAAAAAACCATAAGGAAAGTTATTATAAAGATTTTAGCTATTGGATTTTTATTTCTAATGTTACTTTATATGTCCCTATCTATCGATCCCCTCTCTTGTTCTATGTCCTACATTCTTTTCATCATGACCTATATGTGTGATACTATTCAACTGCTGCTTTATTTTCCCTGTAGTTCAGCTTCTCTCTTACCCAGTTTCCTGTCAAGTGTAGGAAGTCCAAATGGTTTAAAATGAATATAAAGATTTATTGCAAGCTCATGCTCTCTACAAGAATGTCCCAAAGGTGCTTTTTTAAAAGTTGAACAAAAGCCTTTTGAAAAAGCATCTTTGGAACAACCATGACCTGGATGACTGAGAATCTCCATAGACATCTCTACCAGAATCTGAACTACTGTCAAGGTGTTGATTTAACAGTTAGCCAGCTTATGTAATGTAAGATGTAAGATGTAATGTAATGATGAGAATGACTCAGCAGGGTTTGTGTCTCTTTAAGAGCATTTGTATAAAGGGAAGGCTCTGCTGATGTGTTCTCTCTCTTCCGTTTCCTGCTGTAATTGTGGTTTGTTGGATCCTGCTGTATTAGCACATGTATGTATATTGTTCCTGCTGTATGATATTGTAGATAGTGTAAGATAAACCACCATTTAATACAAACCACTGTTTACTGCGTTTACTCCTGGATTATCTCAGCGCAATGTGCACCCTCTGACAACTACTAACTACTAACGGTCAAAGCAAATTGGCAGTAGATAAGAGTCAGTGGAATTCAAGGTGGGCTAGACTTAGATCTCTTGTGGGTGTGAAGGGATTTGAGACTGATGATGCATTTGACCCCTCCCTCAGGCTCAGCCTGTCATCTCCTATCTTTCCCTTGCCACACCAGATAGGCTTCTGAAGATAGCGTATCTTTCAGATATGCTCTTATTTGTCCCTTCTGGTACTTTTGACTGGGATTTCACACTTCCTTAAAACTCTTCTCTAGATTAGATCCCGCATGTGGGGACAAAACATCGAAGTAAGACATCTCCCCATTAGCTCCTGTGCCATTTCTCTATAGAATCAGGAAAACAAATTTCTAATATATGACTTGAGTGTTTAATATGAATTACAGCTGGATATACTTAAGTCACTTACTTATGTAATCCGCTCTCATAGGTAGTAATGGTCATTTATACACAGTATCATGTTTTCAGCGATTATTGAATTTTCTTTTATTTGATATCTTAGTCTTAATGTTATAATCTGCCATGGTTCAGTTTAATGAATTGAAATTCTGAATATAAAATAAGCAAAAATTAGCAGGAAGAAACCAAACTGGAAGTAGCCCAGCTAATTCTTCTGTTTCTTTTCCTCAGTTTAAATAGTTTTTATTGGGTGAATTGTGTACAATGGAATATCATCATTCTAAATTATTCAGTAAAGACAACAAGATACAAAAGCAAAATTGAATTCAAGAGACATAATGAGCATGAAAGTTGATATTTGGTGACAGAGTTGACAAATTAACAAGTCAAGTACAGCATTAGAATAAGGAGATAGAATTGTCTCAAAGGTGCTTTTTCAAAAGGCAACTGGATAGGCACCTTTGAGACAATCATGACCTGGATGACTAAGAATCTCCATAGACATCGAGACAAAAGAATGGCAAATAGGACATCTGGAACTATTTTCAGTTCAGAACTTTCATCAAAAAGAACTGAACAAGAATTAAATTAAATTAGAACTAGCAGAAACAGAACTGCATAAAAATAACTTGAGGTATACTTGAATATTTCAGTAAAGAAGGTATATGAAGACTTAAAGACATCTGCATCTGGATGAAATTCAGGAAATCTTTAGAATAAAATCTTGGGAAACATGAAAGGGAAAATTACCATGAGATATACTTGTAAAATTTGCATAACAACTGAAGGCACAACATTGGAACAAAAAGAAAGGAAACTACTCTAAAATTGGGGGTGGGAAAATCTCAGTCAACAGTTATGTCTTTGGACAGATAGGAAATAATGAAGTGCCTATATGTGAAGTAGCTACAATTTTACAGTAGATTCTAGAAAATTAAATCACAGATGAAGAAGATCCATAATATTATGGAACTATCAGGCATAAGAAATCAGGAACCAGGATAGAGTTCAAAAGCACTGTGAGTTTATGTTATGCTACATATACGCAAGAATCTGATCTATTAATGATCAAGGCAAATTGACACCAGATAAAAGCAAGAGAGTTCAGAGGGGGAGGGGCTGGATTTAGATCTCTTAAGGCAGAGGTCACTCAGTTAGCGGACTGGAGGAAAAGGAAGGGGGAAGCACTTTACACATGTGCTCACAGGGCCGTGAGCATACACGCACCGCAAATAGGGCGGAGCTAGCCCCTGCATGATATTCGCTAGCCCTGCCCCATTCTTGCGTAGCGCAGTGCCTTATTTTTGCACCCCATGGTGCAGCGGTGACCGTTTTTGCACCTTGTAGCGTGGTGGCGGCCTGTTTTTGCTCCCCGTGGCACGGCAGTGCCCATTTCTGCACCCCGCTGCGCAGCAGCTGCCATTGTTTTGCCTTGCAGCGCAGTGATGGCCCACGTGCTGGATTTCTGACTCATTGTTATCCAAGCCTATAGACATGAAGCCACAGCTTCTAGTTATACAGCACATAATCCAATAATTATAAAACTAAATAGAGGAAGTTATTGATCAAAAAGGTTGAGATTGAATGAACTTTTATTATTACAAGAGGATATTAAACTGCAGGGTTATCAGGAACTAAAAAGCTTTTGCCAACTCAATTTAACCTTTATCTCTTTGTCTGCAATATTTTTGAAAGGTTTGTTTTATCTCTCTGGCATCAAACAGAAAGAAAACCTTGCAAAATCAGAAGGATATATGGTTGAGTGATCTGAAACAACTGGAATCGAGGCATAAACAGTTTTGGATTTGGAAAAAAGATAAAATCAATATGAAACTTACTAAATTTAATTGAAATAAACAAGACTTACAAGAAGTTGAATTTTATTAAACATAAATACTATTAAAAAAGCAATAAATCAGGTAAATTGGCCTATCAGTTGTGAAAGGAACAGGATTGGGGTGGAAATAAACATACTTCTACAAGGAATCAGTTGCTGAAGCAAGTTCTTAAATATTATTCCAGATTATGTGTCTAACAGAATCTCATATGGAAGAAATGGGAGAATATCAGAATAAAACATTCCTTATAAAATTTACAGATCAGCAAAAAGAAGACCTTAACCATAACTAATGATGAAATTTAAGAATTAATTAAATAAACCTGAAACTGAATAAAGCTAAAATCGACTGTAAGAACAATCTTAAGGAACAAATGAGAAAGTAATCAGACAAAATAAATTTGAGTTCGAGGCAGAAATATAAATCTCAACAATTCTGGAAAATAATTCTATAATAAAACAATCTTAAAAGTTGAATTTTCATTTCAATTTGCAATATACAATGCTAACATATTTTTCTTCAAAATATGTTAAATTAGCTTTCTACTTGCCAACTACTACAAGGATATTACACAGTTTTTACTCGAAAAGTTGTTTAATCTTCTCATATACATGATTTTAAAATTAGGACAGCTTTACTGATATGGATAGAATTTGTAATCTCATGCTCTCATTTGGTGATTTATGATGTGTTGTCCATGGTTCATGATATTCATACTTTGATTAAAGCTTATTAGCATTCCAGTTTCATGTGTGTGGGACTGTGTGCGTGTGTGTAAACTATTGCACATGGGTCTTTGAATTGGAATCAACTTGTCATAGAGTAGAAATAAGAATTTGAATTTAATCTTTATGTCATAGTCACTCACACCTTAGCCAGTTCTCTTTTGGACTCCCTGCAGCACACACTGAATGTAGCTTCCCTTGAGCATTTGGAAGCCTGAATAAAAGAGTGTTGAATTTAATATGCTTAGAAGAATAACTGTTTCACATCCCAATTGACCCATGATTTACATTGTCTAGTGTAGCATTGTTAATATAGAACTTTTTTAGAACTTTCTGATGACAGATGCTTATTTGTTGTATCCAGTGGTGGGATTCAGCCGGTTCGCACCACTTCGGCAGAACCGGTAGCTAATTTTTTGTTGCCCAGGCCCAGAATGGACTTCTGGAAGCGACATCCACACAGAGAACCAGTTGTTCACATATTTGAATCCCACCACTGGTTGTATCTCATCAATCTTACCTTCCTCACCACCACATTGAAATTGTGACAGCTTAACTTTTTTATTCCCTTTCACTTTAACTCTTTTGTAACAATCTGGATTCATTGGCTTTTTATCTCTGAATATATTTGTGTTGAATCTGAAAAAGAGCTAATAAAATTAAGTAATGCACTTGTTCAAGAAGTTGCTTCTGGGGAAAATGTGTTCTTGGTAGAGCCTGTCCCCCTTCTTCTTCTATGAAATGTCACCTGTAGTAGATGAACAGGCTGAGCCTGAGGGAGGGGTCAAATGCGTCATTAGTCAGGAGTCTCTGTGAACCTGTAAGAGACCTAAGTCCAGCCCACCTTGAATGCGTCTTTTATCTCCCACTAATTTCACTTCACCGTTAGTGGGTCAGAATCTTGTAGAGAGCTTAAGCTTGCAACAAATCTTTATACTGTTTGAACTGCCTGAATCTCCCGATTTTCCCAGCATTTGGCACATCACCTATCTAGTGAGTTCACCCTATATGTGAAAATATCAGGCTTAGTTCTTTTCCAGCATGTGACTTTAAATTGTTTTAGTTCTGGCTTTTTAACATTATTGTCTTGCAGTAGTCATGTTGATTATTACATTTATAAAGAGTTCCAAGGACATTTTCTCTTTGGGTGATGCAGAGACAAATTTGATTCTTTTTTTTTTCTTGCTCAGGTATATTGTAATGTCGGGAACTCCAGAAAAAATTTTAGAACACTTTCTAGAAACGATGCGACTAGAATCGACGCTAAATGAAGGAATGGGTAGGCCAGTTTAATAAAACTTTATTTGTAACTTCATATAAAATTTATCTAAGAAATAAAATCTGCAGTCCTACATACTTAAATTAAGTTCTTACATTTATTCAAGTGGAATTCCCTTTATTCAAGTTCTGTATAGACCTTTGAGTAAAGTTGATATCCATACCGTATATAATTGTTGTATTTATACTTGTGCTATAAAAGCTGGGCACTGGGATTGCTTGGAATTATTTGATAGAAAGTTTCAAGTATCTTTTTGATATGTTTGGGGTTTATTTTATATGTTTAAAAACTTTCCAATGGGACTATTTTTGAAATTATTTGTAATAGTCCCTTATCTCCCATCCCCCCCAAAAATCAGAGTGGTATTTCATTTATGAGAAAGTTATTTGAAATATCAATCATAATATTTCTTTCTTATGTAAGGACACAAACATCCAGTAAGTTATATCAATTCCTCCTTTTGTAATAATGTAACTTTAAAAAAAAGAAAGGAAAACAATCGAAAAGAATGCATTGGAGTAAAGGGAACAGTGTGTTGTCTAAGAGCCACTGAATTTGGCGTACATTCTATACAGGTAGTCCTTGACTTATGACCACAACTGAACCCAATATTTATGTTGTTAAGTGAGACATTTGTTAAGTGAGTTTTGCCCCACTTTAAGACTTTTCTTGCCACAGCTGTTAAGTGAATCACTGCAGTCGTTAAGCTAGTAACCCGGTTGTTAAGTGAATCTGGCTTCCGCATTGACTTTGCTTGTCAGAAGGTCACAAAAGGTGAACACATGACCTTGGGACACAGTAATGGTCATAAGCATGAACCAGTTGCCAAGCACCTGAATTTTGATCACGTGATCATGGGGATTGCTATAAAGGTCATAACTGTAAAAAATCGTTACACGTCACTTTTTTGACACTTTAATAAAACTATTTGTTATTTGCTGTAACTTTGAACAGTCACTAAACGGTGCAATTAAAGCACATCTACTTTAATGGCGCTAGCGCAAGTGAGGGGGTGTGCATGCACGCACACTGATCAACCTGACCCACGGCCCAGTGGCCAGTAGGCTACAGCCCACTACCAGGCCGCAGCCACAGATTGGGGACCCCTGACTTATCTGCCTTAAATCCATGCATTTTTAGGAAATTTCTTAACATTATTTGTTTAAAAAGTAAGGTTCTAGTTTTCTCTAGAAAGCATTTTAATCCCCTATTAAATAAGAAATAGCTTCTATGTTTAAGAAAGTGAGAATACGCAATTATCCAGTTCTACCTTACATCTGTATAAATTATGCTAATTAATTATCTTTTCGTGGCTTAAATTTTCTTCATAATTTGTTCCTTTACTGCTACTCATATCAATAAATAAAAATTTTGCAAGATGTTGGGTTCCAACCTGTGATAATCAGACTTGTTATTCTGGCATTGCCCACACATTTGCAATCCTATCACATTTGCAAATTCTGAATCATCAAAAGGATTAGAAAATTGTTCTAAAAACATAAGAAGAAGGCTAAAATCCCCAAAGGAGTGATACTGTGAGCAGCGGCACATTTCAAATTTTTGTCTTGCTATGGAAATCAATTTATTTACTGCAAAATCTGCATGGAATGAAGCCTCAGTGTGTTCAGAGTGACTAATTCCTTGTTCATGAAAAACAGGATTTCAGTAGTAACATTCTTTTTATAAAAAAAAATTGCTTAAAGTAATGTATATGCTTTTGTAATGTTTAATGGATGAATACTGAAGTTCATGGAATCCAGATGCTTTCATGTAATGTCAATAGACATTGGTAATTAAAGTCTGCATGTACAACTTGCATGATAAAACTTTATAAAGTGCAATTAAAGCACATCTGGGTTTCCACTAGTTCTCCTTCCATCTTTGCAGCTTTGAATGCCATTCCTGTGCTTTTCTTGATTCCAACAGAGGCATTCTGACACATCTGAACATAAGATCTCCAGCCAAAAGCGAAGGCCACAAGGTCCTACCTTTATAGTGTCAGTCTTTGATATTATATAATATCCCAATTACTGGAAAGTATGCCTGTTGTTTTGTGCTGTCTTAATTTATCTTGCTTCTGCTCTTGGTTTTATTTTCACAGATGCCGGTGTGAATGATTTTGTTACAATGCATTGTGTATTCATGCCAAACAATCAACTTTGTCCAGCTCTGATGGCTCAATATCCTTTTTTAAGTTATATACACCACAGACATACCGGCACACTGAGTCATTTTTTTCAGCACCATCCTAACTTTGAATGAGGGATCCAATCTGGGTTGGTCACTGGGCCCAGAGGTTTAGTCTTCCGAGCTTTTGGATTCATGCTGGAGCCCATCCTCAGGGAACTTCTCTGTCACCAGAATGTGTGAGGAAGAGAATGTGTGAGGAAGAGAATGTGTGAGGGAGAGAATGTGTGAGGGAGAGAATGTGTCCTCTCACCAGGACAGACATTCTGGTGACAGTTCCCTGATGATGGGCTTTAATATGAATGCGAAAGTTTGGAAGACTAAACCCCTGGGCCCAGTGACTGACCCAGATTGGATCCTAGAACATTATCGTGGGACACATATATTTCCTTCATTCGTAATTTTGAATGGTTGTTAAACAAATGGTCGCAATCAGGGACTATCTAGCTTGTAATTCTTCAAACCATTTTGGAATATCTTATTGTTATTCTTTGCTTCTCCTCCAACTCTTAACTCTAGCCCAGTGTATCAGTTTTCTCTACTGGAAAGTCAAATTTTTATCATTTAAAATAATACAGGTATATTATTTTCCCGCCTATTATCAATTTTTTATTTCAGCGTATATAATTATAAGTGAGCTTGTACTGGGCACTGTTCTGCAACCATAGTAAGCAAATTCAATTCAATTTATTATTACAGCCAAAGGCCAACACATAAATAATAAGCAAATAATATTTTTTTAAAATGGATAAATGTTCAGAAGCAAAATGAAGGATCCTATTTAAGTGCATTCCAACTCACTATATACAGTATATTTCACAGGAATAAAATCCTTTTTCTGCCAAAAAAATAAATATCTGTTATTTTAACTTCATTTCTATTAGTTCTCCCCAACTGAGTTTGCAATTAAAATGACAGGAAATGCTGACCCTCTTTATAGAGTCATTAATAGGGATCAGAGCATTCAGATAGCTGTGAAGATTTGTATACTTGCATGTAAGTGCTCAGTATTATTATCACTGCTGTATTATTAATATTTTACACAAATCTCTGTATTTCCCTTCTCCCAAAATGAACACTGAGGTTGAGTTTAAGCAACTACAAGGAAATAAATCAATAATTATACCGAGGGCAGAACAGACTGCATAGTTAGTAACAGTTCTTAAAGCTCAAAATATGAAATCAGTATTCAGTCACAACATCATTGTTGATTAATACCTTAGAAATTATAGCCTCTCTAGAATATTATTTATACATAACACTATTATTCTGATAGATATGCAGCATGAAATTTACGAAGGGAGGGCTCCACCTTTTCCCATGATAGAATTTGCATGGGAGGAATTATTAGCAGAATTAAAAATAAGTACATGAGCAATGGAAAAATGGAAAAGAAATTGCTAGTGCCTGTGGTGAGTCACTTAATCAGCAGGTAAAAGGATATTGAATAATTACAGGGCTTGCACAGAAGAAGTGGCATGGGAAGGCAGGAGAAACTCAGTAAAATGTTGTTTGATTTTTGAAAGGCTATAGGGACCAGGGCCTGCATTGTCAAACCTTTTCCCCGGGTTCTGCTACTATAAAACAACTTTTCAGCTTCTGATCTTGATTCAGTATTTTTCAGATTACATTAAATGCTCCAAATCCCAGCTGTCAAACTTTCATTTTAACTGCAAGAAAATGGTGGCTGTGTGAAGAATTCAATGTTTTAAAAAATCACTCCCTTAATTATTTCATGTACACACGGCTGTATCTTGAGGAGAAAAGATAGAATATTTTCTAGTGAGGAACTTAAAGTTTTTCACTTATATCAGAGACTGCCCTATAAAAGCCTTCAGGTTTTGATTTAAAGAGAACAAGTTATTTTAAGAATTGCCTTCTTCACGTCCTCTTCCTTGACAGAACTGTCATTTGCAGAGGATAATCTGGGCTATTAGTTTCACCTTGTGGTCTTGTTCTGTAAATATCTGTTGCTGTCTAAGCTGTCTGACTGTAACTATCCCTATGTATCCTAACAAAGTAGGACTATGTAGAGTTTTAGAAGTTAAGAAAATTTAATCCTGGCTTATTACTTAGTCTTCCATTTGGTTATGCTTGATGCTTGGTTGATGGTTAGATAATTAAATGGAAATAACAATTTCATGAAGAGGGGGTGGAGGCAGAATAAGTCTTTGTGTAAAGATGCACTAGCTGGCTTTCTGCAAGGAAGAGAGCTACACAGCACAAAATGGATTATATTATGTTACTTGAAAAGAATACTGCTTGCCTGTCTTGGAAAGATTTACTTCCCTGAGAGAAAGCAGCCCGTAAACCAGCAGTATTCAAAATCCCATCCTACTACCACCAGATCAGGCCTTTGGCCTGCTTCACTCCACATAACATCTAAGAATAGTAGTTCTGGTTTGCCTTACCCACAGAAATTTAAGTGCCCTCACATGCTTTCACGCGATGGCAGGAAGCAAATCACAAAAGTGTGGTATGTTAAACAAACTATATCCTTCACAAACAAAATCCCTTTATTGTTGTGAAAATACAGAGTGGTAACACAAAGTAAAACACAAAATAATCTCTGCCAACAACACATTCTGTCTATAATATATTTTAAAAAAATAGATCAATTGAAATTGTAAAATGCAAAAGAAGAAAAAGTAAGCACAATTTAAATAAAGCATTGGTTCATCTTAGGAAGAGAGAGAAAGAGAATGAGGGAGGATGGAAGAGAAATGCTAAAACAAACAGAATAACTCTTAAAAGCAGTGGGATTGGAGCGATTTGTTGTGGTAAAAGCATATAGGATTAAGTGGGTGGATTGGCAATGAATCAATGAACTTAATCTCAGTAGTGCAGTATTTCATTCACTAAACTGGCTAATGGATCTAACAAGGTACCCGGGTCCATTACAGTGACATTTGTGATAGAAAAAAAGAACCTACTATGGGATTGATCTGCTGGATCAACAGAAGTTAGCTGTTTTCTTTGCTGATTCAGAAACTTTATGTTCGGTTCAAATGGTGCAAAGCACAAGCACTGCAACTGTTAGAATGGGATTTTAGAAAAGTTGTATAATAATACAGAGCTAAAGAAATGTAGTATCTTAGCATGTTTTGCTTGTTATGTTTACATCAGTCTTCGCCTTAAGATAAAAACGCAACTATTATCCCCATCCCCCAATGTTTCACTTTCCAAGAATTTGACCATGACCAAATTTATATTAATGTACGGGAAAACTATATGCGCCGTTTCTTTTACAGTGCAAAAAAAAAAAATCCACTATGTTCACATTTAACACAAACTGTTGACCTGCCCTGTTTTATTGGGAAATCCTTTGGAATCACTTGTGCTTTCTTTTCCTGCTACTCATGTCAAGTGAACAAGTGTCACGAAAATCTTTTAAACTGGAAATACATGAAATACAATTTTGAACTTGAAAACCCTGCTGGCCTGGCTGCTGTATTGCCTAATGGCCAAAAAAGTCAATTTCCAGAAAGCCCACAGTTATGAGGAAATGATAGGGAATTCAGAGGAGTGGGAGTGATGGGGAATGGCAAAATGACTGTTTGCCTTGACATCCTGGCACTTACCATTCTCAGCCTTCTCAAGGCACAGAGCAAGAAAAACTGGATTATGCATTGAATAATAAAAGGCGAGTTGTTCGTTTAGTTCTACTATGGGCTGCTTTTTATGGTGATGTTCTGCCAGAAGAGGAAGCAGCAGTGGCATTTCTGGAGGTAAGGCCCATTATTACAACAAGTGTTGTCTCTTTACACTGAGAGTATTTATTGTAACATGGGCAAAGCCTGTTTTCAGTCTTCCAAAGATATTACAAAAAAAACTCATGGTGACATTTCAGGTTTTGATGGAAAAATGTGACTGTCTCTTGAACATAATTTTGAGGGAAATGATTCATTAATTAAAGTTAAAATTTATAATAATGGAATTCACTTTTATATGATATCTGAGATTTCATCTCACTGTGCCACTTGGCATGGCAAACATCTCAATGTTTCTTTTGAGCATCAAATGAGGAAAACATTTCGAAAGCTATTTTATTATTGCTGGTAATGCATTATTTTTCTTTTGTTTGTTAATTAAAACTGGATTGGAACGCTATGTTTCTTTTAAGGGAAAACAGCAGTTGAGATAGATAGTAAAAGATGAAAGGATTCTAAAATAAGTTAAAATGCAACCGAAAGCAGACTACAATTTTCAGTATGGTAATGGGAGAAATATATTACTCTTGGGGGTGAAGATCAAGGGTTTATTCACATCTAAATATTTGCAGTAAATTGTCATAAATAATACTATTTATTATGTACAGGAAGTATCCATAACATGCTATTTTTAGTGATACTGTTCGTAAAGATATATTCTTGGCTGTTTTTCCTTGTTTGAAATCAGCATAGATACGATACAGATTTTGCCAAATCAGCTGGCCTTTTTATGCCATTTGAAGAGTGTTTTTAATCATTTAACAGGAGTTTTACGTATCTGTATCGGATGACGCAAGGGTAATTACAGCACTCAAAGAACAGTTCCCAGAGCTAGAGAAAACTATGAAACAAATGTAAGTATCAGATCGAGCTCATTGCTCCAAACTCATCTCTGCCAATGCCTGGTGTTAGATCTAAAGCATTATCATTTTCAGACCAGTCTTCAGCAAAAAAATTCGGCTAGTATTTTTTTTATATAAAAATGCATATGCCACAGTTGAAGCTTTTGGGTTGCTTTGAAGAGCAGCTTCATGTAGAGTGCAGTGCAGTAGTCTTAACCATGAGTTGATGAGGGCAGAGTTCCTGTTGGGGGTACAAAAAAATGGATGCATCAGCTGAAGCTGTGCCAAAGGCACTCCAGCCATGGACCTTACCTGTTTGTGGCATTGCTTCTTCAGGTGAGCGTGACCCTATCCAAAATCGGTGTTGGAATTAGAATCAAGCAAAAAAGCAACCTCATTGTGCAAGGATCTAACCTGAGCTTGTTTTGAACCGTTCAGTTCCTCATAGACTCTAGGCACTGGGTCAACCTATTCTCCAAAGCACCTGAAGGCAGGACAAGAAGCAATGGATGGAAACTAATCAAGTTCCCTAGAACTAAGGAGAAATTTCCTGACAGTGAGAACAATAAACCAGTGGAAGGAATGGCTTTCTTCCAGAAGTTGTGGGTGCTCCAACACTGGAGGCTTTTAAGAAGAGATTGTACAGCCTTTTGATATAGGGTCTCCTGCCTGCACAGGGGGCTGGACTAGAAGACCTCCAAGGTCCCTTCCAACTCTGTTATTCTATTATTCAACAGGCCCAGCCAGGATGGTCATGTAAGCTATCATCAGAATATCAAAGCATGATCTGTCCCAGTGGTTTTGGGTACTGTAAATGTTGAGTGATAAACATTTTGCTTCAAAAAAACCCTGGTTCATGATCTTCAATTCCCTGAAAGCCAATTTCCTGGAAATTCACCGTTACAAGCAATGCAACAGCATATATCATGTACTTTTGTTTTTAGTGGATTTATTGTATTTATATTAGGAATAGGGTTAATTTGCCATATTTGTTAACATATTGCTTTGAATATGGAAACTACTTGGTGCATTCATGAATGAACAAGCTGTGTAGGAATAATAAAACAAGTTAAGTCTAATAAATATGGTTACCTAGACATTTCCAGTCTAGGATTAGCTTACAGAATCAAAAGCTCAATTCTGTATTGCTTAGGAGTCTAAAACTATTTATGGTATAAAATCTCTAAAATATAAATTTATTTTAAAAGCTCTTCATATGTATTTGTATTTTTGTTGATTAGTTTAGCATACAGTACATAACAAAAAACACTGGATTATGTTTCATTTGCATTTTATAGATCAGAAGAACCTAAAGGACCTCAGAAAAAGGTAAATATTTTGGATATGTATGCCACAAAAATAAGTTATTTACAAATATTCTATGTTATTTACTACCATGTTTTCCTGATTAATTCTCCTGCGTGTATCCATTGTCATGTGTCATGCTAATATTGAATATTCTTGCTTTGACATCCATATCATATAAGCTTCAGGTAAGACATTTACCTGCAGTCAAGAAATGGCTTTGTATTCAGATGTTAAGATGCTATATAGTTAAAAATTTACAAAAGGTAAATTTAGGTCTCCAAAGTCATAATATCAGATGGGTACCATGAAATATTTTCAAAATACATCATTAACTTTGCAGTTTTTTTTCTCTTCTAAATTCTACTGCCTTAATAGTAGATCATAAATTAGAGAATTGTCTAATTCTCTTGTATCTGTGATTATGAAGGTGGTTTTTTTCCTCCCCTAGCACAAAGTCCTTTTGCAGCACTTTAACATGAGTGATGAAAGAACACAAAAACGCCAGCCCATCAGGGGAAGTGATGAAAGTAAGTCAGTGCGCTGGACCACATGACTTTCACTGCCGAAAGAAAACAAAGCGGGATTGGCCCACAAACTGAAATAGTTATCTGACAGGTTCAGTAACTTCTCCGCCTGGTTGTAATATAAAGGTAGTCCTTGGCTTACGACCACAAGTGGGAGCAGAATTTCCACTGCTAATCGAGGTAGTTGTTAAGTGAGGCCTCACCAGATTTCACATCCTTTTTTTTTGCTGGTTGTTAAGTGAATCGGTGCAGTTGTTAAGTGAAACATGCAAGTTGTTCAGCAAATCTGACTTCCACCCCCACTCCACCCCCATTGACTTTGCTTGTCACTAACCAGCTGGGAAGATTGCAAATGGCAATCACATGAAACCCCCCCCCCCACAGCAACTGTTGCCAATACATGCTGATTGCCCAATTTCCAAATTTTGATCATGTGACTGTTGGAATTCTGCGATGGTTGTAACGGTTGTTTTTTCCCCACTCTCTTAAGAACTCAGGGCCATTAAGACAGGCCTACAGTCGAAGCCGTAATGATGTCACAATACACATGCTAATGACTTGAATTAGGTCAATTGCGTAATTTATGTCACTTGCATGATCATATCATGACTCAGTTAATAACTACCCACCTTTCCTGTGGACACCCTTCTATCCACACAAAGACAGAAACAAATTAATCATGTTAAGGGGGAAGAGGAAATTATGAGTAAGCCCGAGGAGAGCATTTTAGCCTACTATCTGTCATTCTCAAGAACTGCCGCTGCTAGCTTGGATATAATACCTAAAGGTATTAGAACTAAGATATTAATTCTAATTTTTATATTAGTCCTAGAACTAATGAGAAATTTCCTAACAGTTAGAATAATTAGTCGGTGGAATGACTTGCCTCCAGAAGTTGTGGAGGTTTTTAAGAAGAGATTGGACAACCATTTGTCTGAAATGGTATAAGGTTTCCTGCCTGAGCAGGGGGTTGGACTAGAACAGGGCTTTTCAACCTTTTCACCCATTGTACCACTTTTAGGATATGGCAATATCCGAGTACCACCAGTCGCCTAGCAAGGTGTCAAAAACTTGATCAAAAAAAAGGAAAAATGTAATAAAGTACAGGTAGTCCTCGACTTATAATAGTTCACTTAATGACTGTTCGAAGTTACAATGGTACTGAAAAAAATGCCCCCCAAGCCACAGCCGAGCAAGACACTTGCCTGCCCACCCAGCGGCGCTCTTCCTCCTGTCCGAGGTTTTCATTGTTGTGAGCATTTCTGTTGGGGATTGGCAGTGGAGGTGGGGTGGGAGGTGTTTGGTTTTTATTCCACCCGTCTGCTGGGTGGTTGCAGCAGGTTTTGGTCACTTCACATGACCCTGGGACACTGTGACCATCATAAATATGAATCAGTTGCCAAGCATCTGAATGTAAATCACAAGACCCTGGAGATGCTGAACCTTGACAGCCCTGCAGCTCCAGCCATCTCTCGCTCAGGCTTGTGTGGTGCTACCACCTCCCCCGCTACCACTTTTCTAGGATGGTCGCATACCACCTGCCAGGTGCCAATGTACCACAGGTGGTACCCGTACCACTGGTTGAAAAGCCCTGGACTAGAAGACCTCCAAGGTCCCTTCCAACTGTTATTCCTAATGAGAGAGCCATTATTATACAATGATTCTGTATCATAACAGTATCTTGCTCCGCAGGTTTTAAGGGGCTCTTTCATAATGTGTTATTTTTGTCTCAAGTTTTATTCAAGGTATACTGTGTGGATCACACATACACCACCATCCGCATTCCAGTTTTCTCATCTGTTAAAGAAGTCCTCCGCGCAGTAGCCGACAAACTGGGCTCTGGAGATGGCTTGATATTGGTCAAGATGAGTTCGGCAGGAGGTGAGGCATTTGAATAACTTGCCTGACTATATTCTGAAGTGGCAAACTATGGTGGAATGAATATATTGATTTCCCCAATATTTGTCAAATTGAAAATAGCAGGAATTGCTCTCCGTTATCTCTGAAGGCACTAGGGAAAGGCTGACCTTAAAAGCTGATTTATTAGTAAAGGTGTGACCAAATATACATTTGTTTTTTTTTAAGGCCTGAATTGCATCTGCTGCATTACTCTTGTCGAAATAGGTATAGAAAATAGGAAAGAAGCTTTAGCAACTTTAACTGATATCTGTTAAATAAAAGATAAAGACTTCGTTGAGGAGCTAACTCCTCAACATTCAGGCAGACTCCTTAGCGGTAAAAAAGGCTGACTGTTTTATTGTTACATGATGATTTTCCAGCTATTCAATTTACCTGCAACCACAGGATTTCTAATGTCTCTCATTCACGTTTTAACCAAATCTGACCCTGCTTAGCTTTTTGTGTTCTGTTAGAATCAGATAGCAGATGATGCCACTTACCATCAATTTTATATTACGTTAGTCTTCTGTTACATTACTTCTGTTACATTAGTGTTCTCTTTCCCTATTAAAATTCTTTCCATACCCAAAACGTATCCATGGTGTTGTCATACACTCTTTAAAATGTGAATCTGCCAAAGGCTGTACATTTAGGACACAATTAAGTTTCTTTTTTATAATTTGAGCTCTTCTCCAGATTCGAAGGGATACAGATCACCCTTGTATCTGTGGTTTTCTTATCCCTGATTTGTGAATTTAAATTTGCAAAATACACACCAGATCTTGTTATCTATGATAAAAGATTTTATATCAGTTCAGCTTGGGAAGAGATTTTGTGTGTCTGTCTGTGCGTGTGTGTGTGCATGTATTCTACACATGTGCAACATATTAACAGAATTTGATGCATTTTTTTCTTTTTGCTTTATGCCTTCAAATCAGTGTTGACTCTTGACAACTGCCTGAGCTAGGCCCTGTAGTTTTCTTGGTAAGATTTTCAGAAGTAGTTTGCTTCTGCCTTCTAGGGTTGATAGAGAGGGACTGTCCCAAAATCACTAAGTGGCTTCATGATGAAGGTAGTACTAGAACTCCCGTCACTTGGTTTTTAATCTGCTGCCTTAGCCACTGCACCAAACTGGCTCTTTGGTGCAAGCATAAAGTATGCTGTTTCAGGGACTTGTTATTCACATTTTTTGGGGGGGCTAGAATAGATCTCCTATATATAATAAGCACCAGTGGTACGTCTATCAAATAACATGAGCATTATCAGACAGAAAACAGGGGTGCTCATTTGACAGATAAATAAGTAGTGAAAAGTATTGCCAATTCCATTATGTGACCTGGAAAACCTATCTTAATTAAAACTATTGTCAGGGACACTTTCGTTTGGAAATAAATTGACTCCAGAGGCATGGCTTTTTTGTCATTTCAATGACAAACGTTGAGGACAGGTAGCCCTCAACCTATGATCACAATTGAGCCCAAAATTTAAGTTTTTAAATGAAACATTCGTAAGTGGGTTTTGCCTGATTTTACGAGCTTTCTTGTCACAGCTAAATGAATCACTGCAGTTGATAAGCTCATAACCCGGTTGTTAAATGTATCTGGCTTCCCCATTGACTTTGCCTGTCAGAAGGTCACAAAAGCGGGTCACATGACCTTGGGACACAGCATCGGTCATAAATACGAACCAGTTGCTAAGCATCTGAATTTTGATCATATGATCATGGGGATGCTGCAAAGATTGTAACTATGAAAAATGGTTATAAATCACTTCAGTGCTGTTGTAACTTTGAATGATCACTAAATGAACAGTTGTAAGTCAAGGACTCCCTGTACTTGCTCAAGGTAACAGGACAGAGGGCATCAAAAATCTCAAATGGCAGCCACAACCACGCAGTTGAAGGCCTGGCATTTTCATGTTCCTTGTGACATATACAGAAAAGGGGAAGGACTTCAACTGCATGGTTAGGGCTACCATCTTGAATTTTTTTGAGCATCTCTGCTCAAAATCGCTGACATACTTACATTGTGACTTGAGAACTTTACCACTTTCTAGGATAACCTAATCACCTTCTTTTATACATAGTGGTGATTACGTCATTTAGCCAATGTTAAACACCAGGTTTCCTGCATTATAAATTGTAAAGTTTTAGATGTTATTTTTATCTTGGGGGATAAAATGTGAAATGTTCAGGGATGGCTTTGATGGTGCTTCAGATGTTTTATGGAAGCATATGGGGGCTTGCCCATAACTTAATTAAAAATAAAATAAAAATAAATACTTGAAATGCAGGATGTCTGAGGATTAGAGTTCTTCCAGAATAATGTTAGAGTTCACTAAGCAATTCTGGGTTGTCTTTGAAGAAGATCTAGACCAGGGGTAGTCAACCTTGGCTCTTTTATGACTTGTGGACTTCAACTCCCAGAATTCCTGAGCCAGCACAGGAATTCTGGGAGTTGAAGTCCACGAGTCATAAAAGAGCCAAGGTTGACTACCCCTGATCAAGACTGTGATGAGAAGATGGAGCCAAAACTGGAATGGCTTATCTACTTTTCCCAAGCAAAGACTTTTGATTAATTTGATACCATGAATATAAACAACAGACTTATAAAAAAAAACCAGAATGAGAACCAGCTCTGCATCCGAGATTGTTAATGTACCAAACTTGCTAAGAGTATAATTGTTTGTCATGTCGGTCAGTCCATATTCAGTCTGTTCATGATATTAGACTGCACACTTGTTTACACAAAGAGTTGATTTCAGTGGAGAGAAATCCATTCTGTAATGTTCTAATAACATACCTGCTAGTTTAATTTTCTTCTGCTTTTCATTTTTACAGAGAAGGTGGTTCTCAAACCTCAGGATGTTTCAGTGTTTACAACACTCAGTGTTAATGGACGCCTCTTTGCTTGTCCTCGTGACCAGTTTGACTCACTGGTATGTATCTGTGCCAGACAATTATTTCAGGTTACCTATACACTAAATAAGATCTCTTATTCTGCAAATTCTGCTATAGCTTTGCAATAAAATATCATTTGAGACTTTGAAGAAACGATCTGCACAAAAGAAGAGCAGATTTAAAACTATTAAGTAGATTATAAATATTTACTGATTCATACTAGCTATCCAAACCTATTTTCTACGAATACATGGGAACAGAATGCGGCTAATTAATGTCTTACACTAAAGACTGACTTGATTTGATAAGGGCAGAAAATATGACAGATATATAATTTTACATTTATTATACAGAAATTATTTTGGTCATGTAATAATTGTAAAAATGTATATGTGTTATGACTTGAGCAGTACCATATAGGCTAGAGTCTAATAAACTGTAGGAATACAATAAATATTTTGAAACAGGACCACAGGACTTATTACCAAAGTTGGCCACATTTGAGAAAATGTTTACAAGAACTTCCCAGTAAAGTAATTCTACCATCTTCCACTGGGTTCCATTTTTGTAGATGTAGATTTTTAAAATATATTTTGTGGTTCTTAAAGTTCATTAAAAACCCTTCTCATTGCCAATCTATGTCAGCAGAAATGTTATGGCTCCAAATTTCAATACTGGTTCTTCTTTTACTTTTAATGAATCACCTTACAAGCTGATGTCCTTCATAAGTAACTGTAGAATAGAAGTCTCCCCACCGCTTAAAAGGCAATGAGTTTTTCTAATTCCAAATACTTTAAAGTAAAAGCAAAAATGTAAATATTTGCACATTGCAAATACCTCAACTCCCTGTGATATAAAAGATGCTGATATTTCTAAGGAGAGTTTTGAGGTGTGTGTGTTATCTTCCATCAGCATTTAAGGATTTTGGGGTGAGCAGAAGGCAACCTGAGTACTGTGGTGTTTTTTTTAAAAAAAAAATAATAGAGAAATCTTCTGAGCAGATATGACTGTAGTTCAAGGATAACCAAGCATGAGTGTATTCATAGAGGTTTTTCAGTCTAGAAGGAATAATTGGTATTAATAACTAGAGTTTTTATTTCCTATGATTAAGTCTGCCTACTTTTAGACATAGTCTAAATTGGACTTTTTTGGACCTTAATTGGACCATTTGCTCTGAGCAGTCATGCTGGAAGCAGGCACTACTAAGATAGTAAAGGTAATCCTTGCTTAGTGACCATAACTGCAACTGGCAAATCAGTTGTTAAACAAAGAGCTGTGCTTATTATCCTATTTCAGCTCTCCTTTGTTTTACAGACCTATAAAATGCAAGGATTGTTCATAAAGTTACTTTTTCATCCACCATCATAACTGCGAACAATTGCTAAATAAGATGGTCACTAAACAAGGACTACCTGTATGAGAAGGCAGCTTTCAGCCCTATTGCCTCATCTCTGCCTGTAAGCAAGGAAAACCACAGAGGAAATGTAGCCTGGTCTGTGTTCAACTACATTCTTCCAAATATATTCTAAGATTGTTTCTACTGAGCAGCACCGTAGTAACAGCCTATTTTTCAATACTAGTTTAAGGTAACAGGAAGAAGGGGGGGGGGGAACCAAATGTGGATGGATTGCACTGCCCTCTGGTGGAATAAAAAGAAACTATAAATGTAAACTGTCTAGGAATTAAGTGAAACTATTAAAACAAAAGTGAAAATGATAAGAGTACAGTACCATTTTTATACTCAGTTTCAAAAGGAAAGTTATTCTGGAAGAAATATAATCCCAGAAAAGTAAAACTTCTTGTAAGCCTCCATATTTTAAAACTACTGTAACTAAAGTGTCAGGAATAAATGACTCTTTAAGACTTGTTTAATCTTATATTCATGGTAATCACAGTAACATGGAAAAACTCCAAAATACCAACTGTTCCATCTTCCTTCCTTTCCCCTCAGAAATCCATTATAAGTATAGTGACTGTATGTCTTTATTATAAAAGAAGGCCCTTTATTTCAAAAAGCTGTCCTTGTTTTATATTTTTATTTATTTTTATTTATGAAGCTTGTTCAGATTTGCCCCTTTTTCAGGTTGTTCTTTATTTTTCCAAGAAATATGGTGACTGTACTTATAAGTAAAGAACCGTCATGTGACTGTGCAATTCACAAGCCAAAAAGAATCAGAAATTCTGCTTCTCGTCAGCTGTTGCTATTGTAAGCAATAGCAATATTAAGCAACAGGAAAAAAGGAAATCGAGCATCTATACAACATATTCCAACAAAATGGATACCCACGCAACTTTATCAAAAAGTCCCTGACCACTCAACCCAATGCAGCACAACCAACATAAACCCTAAAAAGAATTACACTGCCATACATCAAGAATATTTCAGAAATCACCAACCAACTACTACAGCCACATGGAATCAGCATAACACACAAGCCAACTAAAGCTCTTCAAGTAAACCCAAAGACCCAGCAACCCCAGAAGAAAAAACAGGAGTCATCTACAATTTACAATATAATGACTGCAACAACCACTATGTAGGTCAAACAGGCAGAAGAGTGGCAGAATGCACCCATGAACACCAACAGTCAGAAGACATGATGAAAATTCTTTATTTTCACAGTATGTAGACAGACTTAACCATAGTTTCAATTAGGAAAATGTGACAATCCTAGACCAAGCCAAGTCCAAAAACACCAGGGAATTTCTAGAAGCCTGGCACTCTGACAAATTCGCTATCAATAGACGCATAGACATTAACAACATCTATAGACTATGCAAGAGAGACAATCAACCAGCCAAAAAGGGAATAAAAAGACCCAAGCACCTCTCCACCAGCACTCAGCATCCAGATCAGTATAGATTAACTCCAAGATTAACATCAGACCAACAATCAAGTAAACAAGACCCCAATTAAGAAATTGCCAAAGAAGCCAACAGTAAACAGCCCAAGAATCTCTCAGACCTCCCCCACCAACACTGACAGGGCAAGCCACTAGAATACAAACTGACAGCAAACTGCACTCCTTATAGCACTGATCATGTTACTTTGTTTGGGTAATGAAACGTCTGCAAGAAAACAAGCAAGCTCAGAGAGCACCAAGGACGCCTCAATAGGAATAGTTACGGTAATATGTGTGCAGTCTTTTATAGACCAAAAAAGCTTGTAGACCACAATGGCAAACATTTTATGTTCATTTCCTCTTTTCTAACATTTATCAAGAAACTGTTTTTTCTTTCCTTTTTCCACTGGGTAAGATCATTTTGGAAATATTTTCAAGGGCAAGATGTTGATCCTTATATTTGGCTTAATTACAAAGGAGCTGAGAATCCATGGGATGTGCCTCCTTTTTTCATTCTATATAATCATCTTTCTCCAGCAGTCCTTGGCTTCCTGTGTTTCTGTTGAACCCCAAGGGAATCTTTTCAAATTAAGAATCAGAAGCAGCTAGAAAGATAGCGGCGCAATAGAGAAATAAAAAAGGGAGAAGGAGAAGAAAAAAAAGAACACCTCCTGCTTCAAGACATCCACAAAAGAAAATGTTTCAACAAGTGCTGAGAATGACATAGAAAAATAGAAGCCATATTTGCAGAGGAGGAAGATCTGGGAGGAAATTAAAGACAAATTTTAGCATGTTTTTGATTTGTCATACATTGGGCTCCGTAATCCTTGCAATAGCAGCGAGCAATATTTTTCCTATATTAAAGGGAGAATTGAGGCTGAAATGGCATTCCTCAATCAGTCTAATGGTTTAAAAGCTGAGCGGAAGGTATTGATTTATGTTTATTCCCATAAGCATTGGCAATGCTTTCTGTAATGCTTTCATTAGGTGATTGTTTTAAATATAGTTTTAACAAATAGAAAGAGGTTTCTTTCTTACTAATGTCTGAAAATGTTGTGCATTTTCTCTGAAGAAAGTCTTGCATTTCAGTTCTTCTGTGTTTTGACCACATGCTAAACTGGGAATCTCAAAAGAGCATGAATTCCAATGAGCATCAAAGTTCTCTAGTTCTTAGGATTATATTCTTACTTCTCCTAGGTACCACTACAGGAACAAGAAGGCCCATCGACAGGGACGATGGGAACTTTTGAACTCATGAGCTCTAAAGATCTAGCATACCAAATGACTATTTTTGAATGGGAACTTTTCAACTGTGTTCATGAGGTAAAAAGAATGAATGTCTCTAAGCTTTTAAACTTTCTACATCAAAATGTGATAGGATAGATAGAATAAAGATCTGTACATTTTCTGCCAATTATTAAACTGCGGGGGGAGGGGACAAATCTTCGGAAAAAACCACAAGTGAAAAATATGCAAATCATTTATCATTCAATTTAATTGACTTTGTGCCCTGTTAATCATAAAAATCATGTATAGGGAAGAAGCAGATCTTATACTATGCTGCATGTTTATGGAATTATACTTTATTTGAACGATAATCACACATTACCTTATATTATAGAGGAGGAACAAGTGCTGCTCATTAAGTTATAAAATATCTGTCTTCATTGAGAATGTGAGGTGAGGGAATAAAGACTGAAAACTACAAGCAAACCTGTATTTTAGAGCAGAAGCTTCACTTTGCATAGGATGAAATAACTATAGTTTGTTTTAACCTCCATATCAATGGTTAATGTAAACCAAAATGCCATCCACACCTTAATTTGCCAATGGTTTTGAAGTATGTCTTCAAATCGTGGTTTGAATACAGTTCTGGGCTTTTGTTAATCAAGATTTGTCCAATTCACTCATAATGGTAAACCCTATTTGCTTCAAATCAAGAAGGAAGGAACCAAAACCTTCCAGAGGGAAGACAAACCAAAAGATATTCAATTCAGCCATTTTCAGCCAAAACACAGCATTTTGAAAGGTAATGATTGATTTTTGTTTAAAGAGTTTTTATTATTTTTTAATGACTTCATTTTCCCCTTGCCTTCTGTTTTCTAGCTGGAACTGGTTTACCATACGTTTGGGCGGCACCATTTTAAAAAGACAACTGCCAATCTCGAATTATTTTTACGAAGATTTAATGAAATCCAGTTCTGGGTCGTGACAGAGATTTGCCTTTGCTCCCAGCTCAGCAAGCGTGTTCAACTCTTGAAGAAATTTATTAAAATAGCAGCCCAGTGAGTAGACTCCAACTCTAATAGATTGCAGTGGGTCTGGTAACTCTCTCCCACTGATGACAGTAGAGCCTTCGCCATAGAAAGGGCATCAGAGCGCTATAAATTTGGCAAGCATGGATTATTTTTCTTTTGTACAAAGCTATTAAGCTAAATCTACGGGATTGAAAATGTCTTCCTGTGTTTAAGTTAACCTGTGAACTGGTTTGAAGTTAGGATGGATTTTCCCAGAACACTAATTATTACACAGATGTTTTACACAATTCAGGGCCTCAATTTTACGTACCTAAGTGTTCTAGAACAGTGTGCTTAACCTTGTACCTTCTAGATGAATTGGGCTACAGATCTCATTGGATTGATGACTCGGAGAACACCTCTGGAGGTATTGGGATGAGGAAGGTTGAACTGGTACGGTGTTTCTCAACCTTTGCAACTTTAAGATGTGTGGATTTCAACTCCCAGAATTTATCAGGCGTGGAAATGGAAGTCTGGGAGTTGAGGTGCTCACACATCTTAAAAGTTGCAAAGGTTGAGAAACATTGCACTAGTCATTAGCTTGGCCTTAATTATTTTAATAACTGGAATGTATGGAATGTATATAGTGGCACACGTCCTTTTAAATTTAGATTAATAGTGGTTTAAGTAAATCACAAAAGGCAAGTTTCTAAATTCTCATTTGGACATTAGTTTCACTGGCTCATGTATTGCTAATGATAGCAACTACGGCAGGCTGGCTCTCAATTCTGTTCAGATCTATACATAATGAATACATATCCAACACACCAGAGGATGTTCTTAGTCCTTCTCAGCATGGGGAGTTAGCACAATAGAAACAAAATATATAATCTTTTTTTTACTGTATACATCTTCATCTTTTTTTTGTTCTATATTATATCCAGTAGAGGGCAGTAGTGTATACAGAAAAGAAGAAAAACGAATTCCTTTTCTTAATAATTAGCTGCAAAAAAGGAGAAAATGTTATACAACTGAACCATTTGCACAACTTCCATCTGCTGATGTATCAGTGTATTTTTAATAAGAAAATATAATAGAAAATACATTATTATCGAGACAATCAGCTGGCTAGTCTACCAGTACTGGTGTCTTGGAATTCAACTTTCTGTTTGCTTTCATGTTTTTAATATTTTTGCCTTGGTAAATTGAGTAGGTCAAATACTCTTCTGCCCCCAGAAGTTCCTCCACTCACAAATGCATGCCTAGAGTTCTGGGTCAGCTCCTAGGTTCTTTTGCAGGGTGGAATGAAGAGAAACCCAAGGTCAAAGTTGATTGGCCGCCATTTTAGCCCCTCTCCTACCTAAATGTGGGGAGAAATAGCCGTAGGCTCCTTCCCAGCTTCTTCACCTCCATTTCAGCTTCTCCATTACTAGATTGTACCACTCAGGCAAGCTGATTTGGCCCAATCTAGGTGTCTAGACGCCAACCCCTGGTCAGACTGCGCCTTCGTAAATTGCACAGCTGCAAGATTGTCTTATTTCATAAAGCACGGTAATATATTCAAGGCCCACCACATCATTTGCTCGTTAGGTTGACAAAGTACACTGGCAAACCCCTTCTTTTTTGCCTGCATTGTTCATATTAAAATCGTAAAGGTTATTTTTATGATGTGTTTAGTGTAGTAAATGTAATACCTTAAGCTTAGAGAAGCAGTAGTGTCCTATGAGCAATAAGGAGCAAGTAAAATACAGGCGTGTGCACTTCCGGGAGGTTAAGAAGAGCCCTGCAGGATTAGACTCGAAGCCAGTGGAATCTAGCATCTCATGTGCTAACAAGATGCCCCAGGGAAGTGTCATTCTGACCTATTGTGCTAAATGCAGTCCAACAGTGCTAAGGCGGCTTCAGGGAAGATGAGAGAGAGCAGGAAATCCACTGTGGAAACCTATTTGCTCTCTGCCAAGGTGCTTAAGCTTTGAGAGAGAAGAGCTTGGGGTGTGGGTTTTTTTCTTGGGAGTCATGTGGCACAAACTGGAAGAGGTTGGAGGGAGACGATATAATGGGTCTGCGTGTGGTTGAAGGTCCTGGAAGGAGGGCAGCGTCCGAGGGGTGATTAATTTTTTTTCAGTCCATTATTGGGCTTCTCTGGATTTTTGAGGATGAAAATAGTAGCAGGACGCACCCCTCTGGAGGCAGACTATTTTTATTTCCATCCATAAACATTGTCCAAACTTGTCCAGATTTGGCAGCAAATGTTCAAATGTTTGGGGAGGGTGGAGATTGGTTTAAGCCAGAAAAGACGAATGTTTCACTCCCAAATCTTCCTGCGTCCATTTCCACCTTTATTCAATGCAACAATACAAAAATTGTGCTGCTAAGCAATGTGTACAACAGATTGCCCATCCCTGTTTTGATGAAGGCTAGGGGAAACGGGCCCCACACCTAAAAAGTAAGGTTCCTATTAGGCCATTGTCTAAATATCCTTAATTGAAGACATATTTTTTCCAAATGAGAATCTGTGTGATTATAGTTCTAGACTGAGTTTTGATAATATAACAGAACGATCATTACTGACTGAAAGAGAATGATTAAATCATTAGAATACAAATTTTAAAAAATGTGTTTGCATTGCTAGCACATATTAAACCTTTCTTAGTTCAGGATTTCTGGTTATTTAATTTAAGGAACTTGCTTAATTTAAATTTAAAGGCCGAATTTAAATAGTTTTTTTTTCCTGGCAATTCCAAATGGCCTTTGCTTCTGTGTAAATATGCTTGGAATTGTAACCTCATTTAATAAACTTGCATCCGCAGCTATTTATTGTTGCGATAACAAAAAAGATTTATATTCTCAGACTGAGTTCAAGTATGTTTATGTATGTATGTTATTAAGTTCAATGTAGAAGAACACAATTCAGAATCCAACCCGTTTACAGAAGGCTTCTTATTATCTTTTTCCATGTCAGATTTTTTTTCTTTTCTCAAATTGTGGCCTTCCTTTCTTCCAGCTGTAAGGAATATAAAAACTTGAATTCTTTCTTTGCTTTGATTATGGGACTAAGCAACGTTGCAGTGAGTCGCCTTACAATGACCTGGGAGGTGAGTGCAGTTCTTCCAGGACTTCATTTTGATTTCTTCATCTGACTTGTGTGTTGCTGTTTCTTTAGAATCGCAAAGGAGACTAGGTTGACAGGACCCAGTAGGTGCTTATATACTTATGGTGTTAAAGAGAAGATGCAGGAGGTTTGAGTCTACTTGTGGATCTTCGGGTATTTTCAGTGGATCATTCAAGATATCTAATTTTCAGTTGCAAGCAGCAACAAAATGATTCTTTTCTTCTCTTCCCACATATCCAAATGAATGCCATTTGTCATCGTTGATTTTTTTTTTCTACTGATCCCTTTTGTGTAAGGACCCTAACTATAAGTCCTGACGTTTCAGTAGGGAAAAATCAAAATCATTCCTGCCTATTCAGATCTCAAATCCACTGACTTTTTACATGTTGCGCATTGGACTTTTTCTCCCACATAACTGGCAACCTTTGCTAGGCCCCTCAGGATCAAAAACAAATTTCCGTGAGGCCAGGCAGAGGACTGCCCCTTATAAAAATAAATCTAAATTCCCTTTTTTAGGTGGGGTTGTTCCTGTTCTCTGCATGTCTCTTCAGAAGTTAGTTCCACTCCTCTCGGTGAGCTTAATTAAGCATAGGCATTTATTTATAGCAGGGCTAACTTGCATGCTCCTGCTAACCTTGCAGTTCGAAAGCATGTAAATGCAAGTAGATAAATAGGTACCACTTCGGTGGGAAGGTAACAGTATTCTGTGTTTCACCATATGCTTTGCCCTGTGGTGTGATCTCATGCTGGCCACATGAATGTGGAAATGTCTTCGGACAGTGCTGGCTCAAAGGCTTAAAGCAGCAGTTCTCAACCTATGGGTCGCGACCCCATTTGGGGTCGATCGACCATTTCACGGGGGTCGCCAAGAAAGGCTGTCTGCCATTTTTCCCCCTTTTCCGGCGGGTGCCTTACCTCCCTTGAGCTGGGCCAGCTGGTGGTCGGCCTGCTCCGTCTCTGCCACTTGCCAGCTACGCCTCGGCCGGCGCAGGGGGCGGAACCACGCATGTGCAGCACTCCCGGGCAGGGAAAGTCCTCGACTTATGACCGGTTGGGTAGTCCTCGACTTACGACCGGTTTTCCTCGACTTACGACCGGTTGGGGGTTGCGGCATTAAAAAGGTTGAGAACCACTGGCTTAAAGAAACAGAGATGAGCACCGCCCCCTAAAGTCAGCTATGACCGGCGGAGTAAAACCTGCAGGCATTCCTTTACCTACCTTTCATTAACTTCCATGCTTCCGCATGAGAGTTTACTTGTTCATCCCTCCCCGAGAATTACATCGGACAAGCATTAAACTGTCAGTGCCATTTAGTGGTTGGTAACCTTTCTGATTTTCCTATGACTTCTTCCAACCTGTTTTCTTAATCACAAATAATCAACCAACAAGAGAAGTAGCTGGAAAGCTGTTCAGGACTGCTCTGTCAGTGTGGGGCGTGAGTGTGGGTGTGTTATATGGTTATTGTTGTTTTTTTAATGCCTTTGAGTCAGTCTTGACTCCTGGTGACTGTCAGGACATGTCCCTGCAGTTTTCTTGGTTAGCATTCTCCTGCTTCAGAAATGTTTTGCCCTTTCCTTTTTCTTAGGGCTAAAAGAGAGTGCCTGGCCCAAAGTCACCCCTCTGATTTAAGGCAGGATTATTTTTCACACTCTCCTGATTTCTAGCCTGGTACTTTCAACCACTATTCCAAGTTGATCCTCTACATTACTGTAGAACTCATTATTGGAAAGTGACACCAGTTATGTAGTAACATCAATCTGAGTATTATGTGATAGACTTGCACTATGCAGTATGTCCGGGAATCATGCGCTTGGTAAACAGTAGGCCTGTAAACGTTACAAAGAGCTGTGAGTGATGTTGCTAGATTATTGTATGTGGGGATGTGGTTAAAAACGGGACCAACAAGAACATGGAAAGAGGCTCTTTCCTCAGATGACTGATGGGAAATCCAGATTGGAATTTAGTTCCCTTTGCGGCTGCTTAACTTCTGTGAACTAAGGAGCAAAGCGCTCTCTATTTCCCAGGGTATTTTGGGGTCTGCAACTAAATCTGCTCCAAGCTTCATAGTTCTCTATTTATAATCTGGTTGCTAGGAAACTTGCTGTATTTTTCACTGCTGCTTTGTTGCAAGTGAGCGGTGGAAGAACAAGATTTTCTGCCCTCTCAGACGTGTTAGAGAACTAGGAACAAGACACTCTGCCCCTTCATGTGAAGATGAGCACAGTCACTCTCCTCGCCTACATAAGGGCCTGGTGGAGGGCGTGCGGTCTCTTTAGCTATAGGCAATATGAACCAGCAACTGAACTGTCTTTGTGCTTTCAGTAAATTAAGCAATCTAAATTTGATACAGGATTCCATACGGGTGTTTCTTTGTTTTTACTTGGCAGAAACTTCCAAGCAAGTTCAAGAAGATCTATGCAGAGTTTGAAAGCTTAATGGTAAATAGCAATCGTGATTTAATTCTATGCATGGCACATCCTGGATACATTTTATTTCCGAACTCAGTTCTAAATCCCTCTGCTTTCTACATTTTATGTGTCCTTGTGTGACTTTAAAGAATTTATGATCCCCTTACAGTGCTGATAAAACAAGCATATATGACTAATAAATTACACTCTTAGGGAGCCTGTTCTGAGAAAATGTCTGTCCTACTTACAGTCGATCTGGGAAATCTAAAAAACTTTATCTTCCTTAGATATTCCAACTTTAAATTTGTTCATGCACCAATTTTACAGAATCCTAGTTTTATAGCTTATAGAGATGAATCAGCAAATGCACAAAGAAGGGGAAAAACAGAATTAAGCATGTTACATTATAAAACCACAGGGTCACTTTTGCTACAGATAGATGGTTAGCCTTTTTAAAAAAATGTACTTCAGACACTAATCCTCCTTTCAAAATAAAAGTGGCTGTAATTTACATATATTTGAATTTGACAATACCTCTTTCTTTTCTTTTCTTTTCTTTTTCTTTTTCTTTTCTTTTCTTTTTTAGGATCCTTCAAGAAACCATAGGGCCTACAGACTCACAGTTGCTAAACTGGAACCGCCTATTATTCCCTTTATGCCTTTACTCATCAAAGGTAACGAGCTAAAGTGGAAAAAGATAAATTTAATAATGAGATGTTTTTAATTAGACATGTGATCTTGTCTCTGTAGTTTCCCTACCTCATAAAGATGGAAAAATATCTTTAAAATATATTTAAATATTAACTTATCTAGCAAATAGGGCTTTTCAAAATATATTAAACATTACGGTTGTTTTTTACAAGAAAATACTTCAAGTAGATGTATTGGGGTCAAAAACTGATATATATTCCCTAAATAAAATTTCTACTGCTTATATGGATTGTTTTATATTGCAGACATGACATTCACATATGAAGGCAACAAGACCTTTATTGACAATCTGGTGAACTTTGAAAAAATGGTAGGTAATGCGTATTCCCAAAGCAGTTGTTTTGATGAGTGACATCCTTATCATGGAAAAATAATAGGTTTGATTTTGGAATGTGGGTTTCTATCGCTGTGCAAAAAAGAGTCTTAGCAGGCAGGCATTGGAGCAGGAAGCTATCAGATGATAAATTAATTCAAAGTTGCAAAAGATCCCATTAACAAGAAAACTTTCTCATTATCAATCAACCAGTAATTTTAGTTCAATGAATCCAGAATAATGTCTTTTTGACATTTCATTTCCTCTTGCAGGTTAGCTTCGTTCATTGAATGAATGAAGCCATGGCAATTTCCCTTACATGATTATGCATCACTCTTAATTTTCCTCTGTCACCAATTTGGGTCCAAGGTTTGACCAGAGTGTTGTAGGTTTCACCTTTTTTCAAAAGCAGCAGGTTTTCAAGGCTGTACCACTTCATAATGCTGATGACTAAAAAATTTTCCTATTACTATTTTTTTTTAAATTCAAGACATAAAACACATCCTCGATCTCACTGAATGCTGATAACAGAATTTTTGAAACTAGCCTATATGGCAAATTCTGTGGATAGAAAGTATTGCATAAAATAATTTTCACCTTCGCCATTATAGTCTGGGAAGATTCAGGCATAGATTTACTGCATTGCTGTTGGTGGTTATGGTTAGAATTTTATGCAATGTCTTGTAGTATTTCTTATGTCAAAACCTGATGCCCTCTATATTGTAGTGTTTCTTGTATCAAAGCCCTGTGTGCATTGCGTTGCATCTGTCGTGTGCTTGTATATTGGGAGACTCTACCCCACTTACATCATAAAGTTGTTTTCCATTTATCAAATGATTAAATACTGTGAGCTTTCTTTGACTTAAGACCATTTTCTGTCAAGGGCAGACACTGCAGGAGGAACTATACAGTTTCAAGGCAGAAAAGAGGAGTTCTCTGTGTTGTGATTCTTAACAGATATGCAAAAGCACACCAACAAATCTTTCTGACCCAGTGGGAAAATAAATGCAGTTAAAATTTGTGCCACTGCCATGGACTGGGAAATCCAGATATCCCTATGCAGCACCAGAGATGAAAGGAGAGGTGACCTGTCTAGAAATGGCTGGAACAGTGGTGGACATCTTGAGGGACAGAAAAGGGGCACAAATGTTCCCCAAATTGCTCCCCAGCTGACACGGTTTGTCTCTGTTCAGGGCTTCCCCAAAAACTGTGCCATACTCCGTGCAGAAAAAAGCCACAAGCCATCCCAGGGCGCTTTTACCGCAGAAATTCCTCCATCTGGCAATTCAGAACGGTGCTATCAACTTCTGTTTCTTCTATTTACTGGGACCCTTCACCTGTGAGATGTGAAATGAGGATTAGCAAATGGGTGCATATTAGTTTTCAGGCTTTATGGATCTGAACAAAAGGAATTCACAGACTGATCCTTATAGAGGGGAAAAGAAGAGGAAAGCATGCTTTCATTTTTGGAACATAAAGATTATGCAAAAAGTGTGACTTAAACAGTAGTTTTTGTATGTGTATGAATATTTATAACAATATTGAAGCCTGGTGCAGGAACGGATTAGCAGATAATGTGGTTGGCCTCTTGCCATGATTTTAGGCTGTAGAGGACTTGGATTGGATCTACAGTTGTGGGGCTACTACATGTAGGAGATGATTGGAGGAGGAGCAAAGCCAGAGTCTCCATGGCTTTATCTATCTGTTCTGTTTTGGAGGAATCCAGATCTTCATTTTACTTTGTTTTCCCTCATACAACTTCCAAAACACAGTGCATAAAAAGTAAATTAATTTTAGGTGGGTATACAATGTTGTACAGTTGAAGAACTTGGCTGCTCTTTCAGAAATGCCTCCATGATTATTATCTTGTCCCTTATATGCATGACATATAATAAGACCCACTATCATTTCTGTATAAATCAATATCAAGAACTACCCCTGCATCATCAAATTACTGTTTCAGAAACAGCCTTATAATTAAAATAGAGCTGAGAGGCTCCCTTATACTTGTTATGGTGTGCAACGGATATGTGAATTTGGCTTTCTTAACATTTGCTTGAGTTGCTTTACTGATAGGAAGGAATTATCAAAATTCTTCCTTGATATTAAAGATAACTCAACTGAGGGGGAAGACGAATGAAATGACAATAAACTTAAATTCCATTGATTTAAATGGATTTATCACAAGGAAGACTAAATCTAGATCTAACTCAATTGCCTCCTAGTAGATGCTATAAGAAGGTTGTTCTTATGTGTACTTGAATTCAGCATCATTTTCAGAACTGCCTCAGGTTAACATGGGAATAAGAAATCTGTTCAGTATTGAAAACCACGTAAAGAAAGCATTTTACTGAAGATATTCAAGGAAGATAGGATCCCATTTTGCTTTGATAGCATGGAATATACTGCATATTTGGCTAGCAAATACTAAGGATGGCAGAGGCTATTAGCAAGAAATTATGAGTATCGTATGGCTTGTGGGGTGCTCTTAAATTAGTCCCTTCCTGAGTCTCATTACAAGTAGGTCAACCTGATCAGCTCATGGAATATAAGGGAACACTATATTGTCCTTCCTCTTAGCCATCAGATGTTTTGGCCAGAGCAAAAACCTTTGTTTTCATACCTATGAATTCCCAGAAACATTGGTCTGTCTATCATTATAGCAGTGATGGCGAACCTTTTAGAGACTGAGTGCCCAAACTGCAACCCAAAACCACTTATGCATCGTCGGGTGCCGGGTGGGTGTGGCCCATTGAGTGGGTATGGCCCATTGGGTGGGCGTGGCTGCGGTGGTAACAGCAGACTGGGTGGGACTAAAAAGTTCAATCAATCCCAACTTTGCAAGATTTTTTGAAATTGACTGATTGATTGAACCTTTTTTTTTTTTACACACGGCGGCGGAGGCCTAAAGTGAAAAGGTTTTATAAAACCCAGCTGAAGGCCAAGGACTGGGGCGACAGCGCGCGTGCCCACAGGGGGGCTCTGAGTGCCGCCTCTGGCACCCGTGCCATAGGTTCGCCACCACTGCATTATAGGATCAATGCTGGGTAAAATGGACTTGCTCTGGTCCATCCAAAGGATTTTTAAAATATTCCTAGAAATAGACTTTCATCAGCATTCAGATCATGCTAATTTGAATTTAGAATGAAGAGAACAAGGAAGAAAAGGATATTACATACAGTATCTATTCATTCAAGAATGCAGGGTTCCACATGATTAATGGATTCCCACATTAAGAACTAAACCATTTAGAGAAAGCTTAGATTAATGATATCTGTCCTGAATAATGTCTTCCTTATCAAGCAAAGTTCCCAGACTTTTGGAGCTGGTAATGGGTACATGGACTTTTGAAAAGATGTACTGTAGTACGTGCTTTTAAAAATAGTTACCTTGGTAAATTGGACTAATTTCAAAATTGTTATATCAGAAGACAAAATATGAAATGGCTTTGTGCATGCTTATTGTCCCCCCCAAATTTCTTATCCCTTATCCCTAGTTTAATCTTTGGGATTTTTCTTCTGGGTAGGTATCAAGTGAAGCAAAGAGTATGATGGACAACAGGGGAAATGTCCACAGACATATTGGTGTCAAAGAGCTCCAGTTTAGGAATCCAGGATGTATAGAATTGGTGCTTAAATTTTCTTTCTTTGGTGATTTTTTTCCCCCCTCTATTTTCAGCGCATGATTTCAAATACTATTAAGACAGTGAGATTTTGTCGGAGCCTGCCTTTCAGTAAGTATTGCAATATTTGTGTTGTCATAATGACAATTTTTTATCTGTTTCATCAGTGTATAATGTCATAGATTGGAAATAAGGAATGGAAAGAAGAAGTAGAATCAAATGCCACTGAAATCAGCTTTTTGAGGACTCCTTATAATAAATTGCTTAAGTTTGACTTTGACTAAGCATACCAATAGCTCTTCATTCCTGTTTCATCAGATCCTGATGCATCTCAAGCAAATAAGAACCATCAGGATCTCCGGGGTTATGTCCGTCAGTTAAATGTGATTGATAACCAGAGGACTTTATCACAGATGTCACACCGTCTTGAGCCACGGCGTACTTAAGTGTTGGGGATTATACCTCCCTCTTTCTCCAATACAAGGTCATTCCTAAGAACAATCCCTCTTTTTGGTACTGCACTGCCACTGCAGAGAGAAGCAACAATGAATTCTAAGATCTTTGGCCATTAATGCACAATGCTCCTACCACCCAGGAAACAATGGAGATGTTTGGTTGTTGAAGAGAACATGATGGGTAGCTGAGAGGTTGCCAAGATTGTACACCCTACATTCATGTAAAAAAAAGTTTTGTACATAATAGAAGTCTTTATTTAAAAATGGAGAAAATTCCAGAAGCTGGTGAGATGAATATTTAAGAAAAAAGTATGGATGGATTCCTTTGCTAATAGAAGAAATTAAATGTTCACTACAAAATTAAATGCCCAATGGATTTGCCTGTTTCAGTAGCAAAAATTATCAGTAGCAGAAAAAAAAAATAGTAACATCCTACCATGTTTTTCATATTCAGAGAATAGTTAAAAGCCTTTTTTTCCCTGCAAGAGAAGTATATTTTTTAAAAGTCAACTCTAACCACACTTGCCTTACAGCAGTAGAGCATTATGACCACCTCTGAAGCCCTAAGACAGGCCGAGTCCTTAATACATTGGTATCTATCGTGTAGATTTCACTATGTTGTTGTCATTGTTGTTGTTTTAGTTCTTTTTAATTGCCAATCAGGATTTTACCCATTGTCAGAACAAAGTAATGAGGTTTTGGAAAACAGAATTAAAGGCAGGTGGGAAGATACCAACTCAAACAGAGCACAATCTGCACAATTGTTCAAGCTATTTTCCTGGATATAGGAAATCTTTAAAATCAGCTGTACAGCTGGCTGTTTTAAGTGGTATTTCTAGACTAAACTTTACAAAATATCTTCTAATTTTCAGGAATCATTTTGCACTTTTCAACAGGCAGTATATGCAAGTGTTAATTTATTTCTTTATGTGTTAGGCATTGTTCCATAAAAATGTTTTATCTATTTTATTTAGCATGTAATTGAAGTACAGGTTTCTGTTTATACCTGGTCTGTATTTCATGCTAAAAGGAGATGGTTTATGATTTATGTAAATAAAATGCACTAATTAAATATAATTGCCAAATAAAATATGTTGCTTCTTTATTTAAGGGGCCATGGGCCACTTTTATCTTAATCCTTTTTGATTTGTTGTCATGGACTTTGCTATTAGTAGTAAGTACTTTCACTGACCACAAAATTCAGGTCTGAGCTGTTACTGTAGAAAATAACTGGATTTGATTTAGTTTATATCTTAGGCTGCCCAATTTACTTAGAATACAAATCTAAAGGGAGATTCAACGATCTCACTTGCGGTACAAATGATGAGCTCAAATTATTCTATTTCGACACATTATGCAATGTGGACAACAGCTCTCTGGAGGAGACTCTGATTCTGTGAATGATAGAAGGAAAGAGAAGAATGGTACCAAGATGGATGGAGTCAGTTACAGTGACAATGAATGCACCTTTGGATCTGTTGAAGACAGATCAAAATGGAGAAAATCTATATCGGGTCCACAACCCCCAGTACCGGGTCATGGCATGCCAGCAACCGGTCCACACAAACAAGCAAAGCACCATCCGTGGGATGCAGGTAGCACACAAAACCATGCCCCCTCCGGTCTGCGGAAAAACCCCTCTCCATGGAACTGGTCCCTGGTGCCCAAAAGGTTGGGGACCTCTGATCTATATGGTTGCTAGGATTTGACACTGATTTGATGGCACATAATCTGTCAAAAAATTGAGTAGAAAACTAGAAAGGAATGTTATTTTGTTTAAAAAAAAATTGAACAAAATCAGGTGATATAGGCAAGAATAGTAGGCTGTTCCTGAAAGATTGAACAAAGTTTGATTTCAGATAAACCGGTGCATGATTTTTTTAAAGCTAGATTTCTTTTATTGATAGTGTTTTTAAAGGAAAAGGGCAGGCAATTTCTCTTTTTTTTTTCCAAACACAATTAAGATCACATTTGCAGACAACTCCCTCAGGCTGGAATAAAATGTGTAAGTTTATGTAGCTGTTGGGGTTTCACCATGCAAGTAGTGTTTTTAGGAAATAGTTGAGAAGGCAGCTGATGCACAATTTCCACCTATGGCAAGTTAAAATTGTAGCTGAATAGAACCGGGTCATCTGTTGCTGCCCTTCGCAAGAATAAATGCTCAGTTTGCATTTTATTTTGAGAAAAAAAATGTGGGTTAAGAAAAATGTCACTTCACATTTCCCGGCAATCTCCGAGAATGCCTGTGTTCCCTCCTTAATGGTATTAATTGCCTTTGCATGAATAATCTAGGCGCACAGCTGGTGTACAGGAATTTATACATTATCAAACTAATACTGCTTTTGAAGCAGAGTATTTTCCTCCATGCTACTTAAGCTACCCCCCATTGTCTCAAGGGAGGTAGATGTTGATGATAAAATAAACAGCTTAAATTAACACTTATGACAATTGATATCCTCATTAGGTTTCATGTCAACATTCGCTATTGAAGATGGGGACAATTTTCATCTCTTAAAGCAGATTTTAAGTGTGCTTCTTGGCTTTAAAAAAAAATAAGAGTGACATCAAGATCTTATTCCACATTAAAAGAAATTCTGCTTAACAATAGAAGGTGGAGCAAATGAAACAATATGCAAACAAGTGGAAATAAGGCAGTAAGGAATGATAAATCTACATGAGAAATATAAGGATGCAATTAAAGACAGGATTTGTGGGTCGGTCCAGACAAAATTGTCCTGTTTAAACAATATCTTCCCATGACTACTTTCTGTATTTTCTAAATACACCTCTGACCAAAACAAATCAGTTGAAACAAGAAAAGTAGAATGACAGCAGTGACTTCCAGTCCATGGTGGTGGTAGAGAAAGATTAATAGGGTTGCCAGGTGTCCACTATTTGAGTGGACAGTCCACTTTTTTCACATTATGTTCACTATTTTTTTTCACAAAATAGTGAACATAATGTGAAAAAAGTGGACTGTCCACTCAAATAGTGGACACCTGGCAACCCTATTAATCTTTTCACAAAATAGTGGACATTTTTTTTATTCAAAAGCTTTATGATGAAATGGTACGTAATCTAAAGCTGTACAGTCTACTTTTTTTACTACTTAACCCCCCCCCCGCTTGTCCGCTATTTTTTTGGAAGCAGACCTGGCAACGCTAAAGATTAAGTCCATGATTACTCAGTAATTGGATGCTAAAGAGGCTTCTTTCTTCCTTTTTACTTTATACAGTATCCATATGAAGCTCTGGGGAGAGATCATAGGTGAGGAATCATTAATTTATATTTTTATCCTTTTAAATATTCCCACCCTCGGCAGAACAGGTAATATAGCAAAGGTATTGACTTAGGGCAGGGGTCTTCAAACTTGGCCCTTTTATGACTTGTGGACTTCAACTCCCAGGATTCAGAAATTCTGGGAGTTGAAGTCCACAAGTCATAAAAGGGCCAAGTTTGAAAACCCGACTTAAGGCCTAGAGCAGTTACAGTCTAGATAGGGAAGAATTGGTTTAGGCTGAATCCTAGATAGATAGATTGGGTGAGACATCATCTGACTTCAGAGATACACTATTTTTTTATTCTGTTGGGATTGTGCTTCCCTTGAAAAAGTTGGCTTGCGATGTGGAGATTCTCCTGAAGACACAACTACATCTGGTACATCAACTACAATGCTTCCAGGGCCAGGGAGCATTGAGCATAGTTACTCAGGTTCTTGTAATCTCAAAGTAGAGCTACTGAAATTCACTGTATGTGAGGCTGCTTTGAAGTTAAAACTGATGAGGCAAGAAACAGTCTGGATAGTGTTGAGATCTCCAGTTTTTTCCTCATAACTCTCGCTTCAATTTGCAAGTGCAATTCAAGGTCCTGGCTATCAACTTAGAGCCTACATAGCTCAAGGCCTTGTTATCTCCAAGACTCTCTACTCAAAAGTGAATCTACCTATGTGTAAGATTTGGAAGAGAAGCTTTACCATTTTCCTGTCAATGAACATGCCAGGTGGGGCCGGGGAGGGGTGTGCTCTGAGATTTCAAAACCTACAAGACTTTAGCCTCGGGGCTGTTGGGATAAAATTATCCATTGTCAGTTCTTTGGCAATCTTATCTAACTAAATGCCAATTTTTCTGATGGTTTTAGTGGATTTGACCTTTGGACTTTGTTTCTGTTGACTCAGTGCAAACTTCATCCTCAATAGGAACTTAATATAAAATCTGCACCAGTTATCAGTTCAGGCAGCTCATCAAGGAACAGAGTTTGAATGTCCATTAGGTTGAAGGCAGTGACTGACGTTGGCATATCAAGTGTCACCCTCCAGAAGTGGGCAGGACTGGAAGCTGAAGTTTGTTTCCTTTAACAAAAATGAGTTGTAGCAGGTTCTACGCCACACTTTTTGCTCCTTGCAATAGGAAATGGTATTGAATGTTGCTATGGCATTTAGGAGAGCCAAAAGTTACCCTAACCCAGTGTTTCTCAACCTTGACAATTTTAAGGCATGTGGACTTCAACTCCCAGAATTCCACAGCCAGCATTGCTGGCTGTGGAATTCTGGGAGTTGAAGTCCACATGCCTTAAAATTGTCAAGGTTGAGAAACACTGCCCTAACCTATCGTCGTATTTCTGAAAGAACTCAAAATCAATCAAGGTGGGTTCAAACTATCGAAAAATGCCTGGATAGCGTTACAGGGCCACAATATTTAAGTAGAATAAAGAATTACGAAAGGGCAGGACCATAGAGAAGTATTACTTTCTTCCTGAACCAGCCAATGGGATATTCCTACTATACGTACTCCCAGAATTCAGCCTTGGCATGATAATCCAAGCACATCCAATAACCAGAACTTATCTAACAGTACAGAATTACAGTGGCGCTTAAAGGTTTGTGAATCCCTTTGAAATTTTCAAGTTAAAAATTCAATTCCAATCCAACTGCAACGTCAAAGAAAACACACGTTTGGAGATTCCATTACTTCTTCAGTTAAAGTTTAGAATGCAGCTCTCTCCATCACAGACCAAACAAGCTTTTCCAGATGGTAATGAGAACCACAGCTCATTTGCCAAAAGAAAATTCTGAAAAGTTGCTTTAATGTGCTAAGTCCTAGAACCAGTTCCTACCAGGTGCTTTCCCATATAGATCAGCAGAATAGAGGAACCTATTTAAATGTTTCATGGAATCTGCATATTCAGTAAAGAGAGTCTAGTAAGAGTTTAGGAACACCATAAAGCATTTTTTTTAAAACTGATGCCACAAAATAGTAGCACAGTAGTAACTGATGAAGAGAGAAAACTGCCAATTGATGTACAAGAAGAACTCATTCTCTTCCTTATCAATCTACACATAGTTTCAAAAAATAGTAATTGCTGTAACATTTGTCTTGGTCATATCTGTTGTCTTGCTGTTTTCTCAAAGAAAGTTCCAACATCAAGACGAATGGCCCATCTTTGATTGTTCTAAGGTTATAAGATTTTTAGTTGAGACCTGGAGATGACTTTTTTAAAGAATCCTGGGGGAAAAAAACACCTTGCAGTATAACAGGATTTTCTCTGCTACTAGCTTCTTGCAATAAAAATAGATAAAAAGACAAAACAAAATAATTCCCTTGGCTGGAAGGGGAAAGGCCAGAGCAATTCTGTACAAGTCAAATAACTTTTAATATAATTTTTAATGCCATTTAAAAATCTAGCCAAACAAGTTAAGCGAAATCAAAGCATTTAACCTGCAGGGGTACCTAGAGCAGATAATGAGTTTTGCTATGAAAAAAAGAAAAGAAAAAAGAAATATTTTAACAAAAAGTAACTGGAGAAAATTATAAGCCTAAATTGTTAACGTAGCTTCTTAGTAAGGTCAACTGCATAATATACGGTACCTTAACCTCTTCCAGCAATTTTTAAACACCATGCAGCTTAAATAGCCTTCCTCTGAATTCAGACTTATTTCTTCTGGGAGACTGGAATGCAAATCAAGAGGTAATCGTGGAAGGAAATTAAAAGATGTGCTTTTTTCTCATTTCATTTTTCCCCCAACTGATAATAAGAAAAGCAGCATAGAGTGTGGTATAGTAAAGTGAACCT